GAAAATAGCGGTTTATATTTCAATCTCACATAAATATGTGATGTTAAAAGGTCCTTGACTCCGGAATGAAAAGATGGTAGTTGCTGGTAATAGCTATCCCATGAAGACGCGGTGTGTCAGTGTAAGATCACCCCTATGGCCGGAGGCCACAAGGTGATCTAACACTGAGACACCAAGTCCGAATGGGATAACTATTTTACATCCCACTGTTTTAGATTAATCGAAAAACCATTTACAATTCATAAAATCTAGTTTAGAACGCCACACAGCCATTATAATATACTTTATATATTACTATATAATATATACCCTTTATGACCCCCGAACACGATGTTTAAATATGAAACCATGTCAACTCGTCCCACTGGCCAATCGGCCCACACTAAATCGCCACTTGGCCCACACTAAATCGCCACTTTCTAAAAAATTGCCCCACACTTGTTTACCAACTCTCCCCACTTATGAAAAAGAGTAAAATCCCATTGAACAATCAGTCCAACAACTCGCCTTATTCATGAAAAGAGTTAAAATCCCACTGAATAAAGGTCTGCCAACTCGCCCCACTTATGAAAATATCTTGCTTCCTTTAAATATATTAAATTACTGAGAATTGGTATCCAGTCGTCCTGGTGTAGGGGTATGTGTCGTGGGTTGATATGTTAAAGGTCTTGAGTTCGAACCCCAGCATAGACAATGGATTTTTTCTACATAAATTTTGATTTGATTTGATTGATTTTTGGTGTTTTAACGCCACTTTTAAGCACCGCTTTTGGGCTAAATCGTGGCGGCCAGTTTTTATTGGTGGAGGAAGCCGGAGTGCCCGGAGAAAACCACCGACCTTCGATAGGAAAACTGACAATCCTAGTCAATTAAGATTGGAGTCGAGTGCACCCGCACGAGCGGGGTTCGAACTCACAACCTCAGTGTTGACTGGCTAGTGATTACAGTAGTAACTACTTAGACCACTCGGCCACCGAGGCCCCCATAAATTTTTAAAGTGTGTCTTTATTCTATTCTTTATAAGAATAATTCTAAGTTTTATTGTGGATAAGGCATTCCCGCCAAAATGTTGCAAAACAAAGGAAAGCATGCAAAACAAAGAAACTTAAGCTGGGGTGATCTGGTAGGAATGATCCGGCTCAGATCACCCCTGGTAGAACAAAGTAACTGGGATGTAAGTGTAACTATGTGTATTGATATAAAGCAGTGTCTTACTACATGTACTTAGCACATACTTACAACTTCTCGTCCAATCATATTGCTTAAATTTGCCCTCTAATTTTCATAGTACATACTTTTTCCGTGTACTAAGTAACTACGCATAGGGTAAGGGTAAGATTTCATTGTATCGTAATCAAGATATGAAAACAAAAATTGCCACTAGCTATTTTGAAATAAAATGCTGTGTTCCAAATTAAATTAAATAGTTTGTAATTAGTTTTCACGTTGATTTTTACATATCCTGCTATTAAAATCTTTGGAAATGTGTCATGGGAATTCTGCACAAAGCTACCAAACTAGCAGTACCTTCAAGAATTATCAAACTAAATGGACCCAAAAGAAAAGCTTCCGTTCCCCCGATGTTAAAAGACTGATTGGAATAAGCAAAATCAAACATAGACTCTAGAATGATGCAGGAAGACCACGAGATGACCATCCTCTCTTTAAAGAAAAAAAGGAAGCCAAAAGAAATCTCAGAAAACAGCAGAGAATAGAAACTGCAATAGAAAAAGAACAATTCATTCAAAAACTTGAAGAAAATCCAAATGACCAAATATTCCACCAACTTATTCGAAGAAATAGATCAGAAACTTCAAAATCAGACACTGGTTTTCTAAAAATGGGAAAGGAAGAAGCTATATCCAAAAAAGAACAATGAGAATTACTAGCAAAATACTTTGAAGACTTGGCCCAACCAAAAGACAACGTTAATTTCAACAACGAAAAACTTCTGAACTGTAAGAAAAGATGTAAAATCATAAAAGAAATCGCAAAGACTTCAACAACTCAGAAGTTACCATAACAAAGGAAGACATCCGGAAAGCTATAAACCAACTCAATGCTAAGAATGCAGCAGATGAATATGATTTAGCCGCAGAACATTTGAAACACTCCGGGGACAGCTTACTAGAAATACTACGAGAAACTTTCAATCAAATTCTATTAGAGGAAAAAGTATCATCAATGTTTAAAACTGGGACAGTATCACCAATTCTGAAGAAAGGAAAAGCATTCTATGAAGTAGAAAACTATCGTGGTATAACAGTTACATCAGTTATTGGAAAAGTATTCGAATATATCATTTTGGATAAAGCCAACCTAATGAAATCTGGTCAATCTCCGTTACAATTTGGTTTTACACAAGGATTATCTCCAAACATGGCAGCCTTAATACTTTCGGAGGCATGCTCGGAGATATCAGGAAAGCAAACCATTTTTGTCACAACACTCGACAGTCAGAAGGCATTTGACGTTGTTAGTCACGAAATACTGATGGACAGGCTATATCATTACGGGCTAAATCTGAATTTGTGGAACATTATTGAGGAGCTATATAGCGGTGTAACATCAAGAGTAAAATGGAAAGGAGAAACAAGTACAAGCTTTGATATACACCAGGGCGTGCGTCAAGGAGGTATCCTATCTACTCACCTATATGAGTACCTAGATTTCGTTTTTGCAGATCTAGAACCAGTTCATTTATGTAGGCCTACATAAATGAACTGTTTCTAGATCTGCAAAAACGAAATCTAGGTACTACATAAATGAACTGTTTCTAGATCTGCAAAAACGAAATCTAGGTACTCATATAGGCAACAATTATGTGGGATGTCCTACTTGTGCAGATGACATTGTACTTTTATCCCTCAATAGAGAAGAAATGCAAGAAATGCTGAACATTGTCGATTACTACTCAAAAGATCATCGATTTAACATCCATCCGCAAAGAGTAATGTTATAATAAAGACTGGAAAAAAACATAAAGATCCTGAAGATAGCGATGCTTTTAAAATGGGGAACAATGATTTGAATTGTTCTGATCGTACAACTCATCTAGGGCTCACAAGATCAACAAAAGATGAAACCAGAATACATGTAGAAGATCGCATCAGTTTAGCAAGAAGAACGTTGTATTCTCTCATAAAGACCGGTGTACATGGCTCAAATGGTTTAAACCCTAAATCATCATATAGGATCTATCAAGCATACGTCCTACCAAGGTTGCTATACGGGCTTGAAACTCTGCATGTGAACTCTAAAGAAATGACGCTTCTATGCAAGCTTCCGCCTCGATATTTTGAGAAAACTACAGTTTCTTCCTAAAAGGACAGCATGTGCATCAGTATACCTACTTCTTGGAGCTCTTCCTCTTAATGCTGAAATTCATAAAAGACAACTTAGGCCTCTTATTTGGTGTTCTCAACAGCAACAATGAAACTATTAGGTCACTAGCTATGTGTCAATATATGTCCGGCAGATCAACAAACTTCTTTACCAAAACAGCAGAAATTTTAGAGATGTACAACCTACCTTTCTTTCTTCAATTATTTGAAAAGAAGTATACAAAAATAGAATGGAAAAGACTGACAAAATCAGCAATAAACGAACATTGGTCTAACAAACTACGCTTAGAATGTGAAGAAAAATCAACTCTACAAAATTTAGCAATTTCAAACTTAGGAATAGGGGTCACACATCCTGTTTCGGCTACAGTTTCCTTATCAGTCTAGGACATCAGAAAAGCTATTACAAAAAGCCGCATGTTAACGGGAACCTAACTATTACAAGCTCATAGACACAGATTTAACCAGGCCGAAGTAGACCCGATTTGTCAAAATTATAGAACTGAAACGGAAGGCCTATGTCATGTGTTAACAACTTGTCCTCTGTATATGAACATCAGGATAGCATTATATACTCCAATCAAAAACTTTATGTTGAGTTTTATATCTGAAACAAAATGGACAACTCACTTCAGTAACCGTGATGCAATATGTACACTTATAGCAGACTGTCAGAACTTTGCAAATCTGTGCATTATACCGAACAACCCAGAAATACTTGGAAAGATTGAAAACATGTCCAGAATATACTGTTATGAAATTCACAAAAAGAGATTATCCACCAAGATATAACGCTTCCCTGTGTCTCACAGCTCCCCATTAAGACACCAATGACAATATTTACCACCATGTGTCTATGTGATATTATTATCAATAGTAAAATAGTAGCCGTTTAAAACTTTAGTGTGAACTATATGCTTAATTATCTGCAGCATTAATATCTGCTTGCTTAACTCTAATATACAACATATAAAAGCCTGAATGTGCGTATAGCTAGACTTTTTAAATCTGAGTAGAACTAACTTTCATAACGCAAAAATATATCATTGTTTATTAACAGAGATGTCAACATAATCTAGAAAATATCCATCTTTAACATCTTTGGAATGCATAGTCTATTAGTCGTTCTCTACTAGGCTTTCCGATATAAATTATGTCTTTTAAAACATAAACTCTATCCAGTTTCTTCAACAGCCAAACTAGTGCCGACTGTTCATAGATTTTATTAAGCTAGACATTGCTTTTATCATCGAATCTACATCCTGGCGAACGTATGGGTTATTCGTGTATATAATATGTACATTTCTTTAAATAAATTTTGTGCATGTGCAACGTTCCGGTGGAGGATTTCTTTTCAACATTTTAAATTTGAACAACTTCAAATGTGAATACATTAACATTTAAAAAAAAACTAATTCGTTAAGGGAACACAGCTAGCTGAGTGTGCTCCAACGCTGGAGGGATCTATAAAGAAGAAGAAGAAGAAGAAGGAGGCATTTTCCTTTGATCTATTGTTTTTTCTCTTTGATCTTTACAACTTTTTCCAAATCTCACGCATTTGCTTCATGAAAACTCACACTTTTAGTAAGGCAAAATCGGGTCCGAGATCAATAGGGTACGAATTGACTGTATTTGCATTTCCGGTTCATGCAAAGGTGAAGGCCAGAAAGAAGAGTGTGATTTTGACAACAAAAGACTAAAAGTGTATATATCGCCGATATAATTGTTTGATTTTGAAGGTACAACATCAAAACAGTTTTGTTTTTCATCTGCAAAACTTAAACTATGTGCTTAAACTAATGCACTTCTTTCTAAAAGTCGCATTTGACGGTTGAAGCTGTTCTGAGCCTCGGAATATTTTTTTTTACTATGTGCATAGATTTATTATTTTGATAAAGTATCAACACAAAAACATTTAATACATACAAACACATATTTCACAATTTCAAAATTTCAATCATTCAGACGCATATTGTAAGAATAGTCCTATAATATAAGACTTCGGAGTTTCATATCATTTACATTCAACGTTTTTTATTGGATATTTTTTTTTTACTATCAATGTTGAAACCCGAAGTCTTATCGATAGATGCTATTTTCTCGAAGCAAATTTTAAAATTAATAACCCACTCACAAAACTAATAGGAACAACATTAAAATGTATGAAAAATATCTCTTACTGTCTTTAAATTGCTAAATTATGTTCCTGACTCATCCTTTTTTTTTCGAAGCCGACAAACATTTTTCATCTCGCCATTTTATTTCAAAACATGTGCCGATTCTATATTTTTAAGAATGCGTGAAGAAAACGAATTTGATGGTAATATTAAAAGAAGGCTTTGTGCAAGAAAGGATGATTTAATGTTGGTAGCTTAGCTTAGCGCAAGTGGCAAATAGTTCATGCATGTTGAGAACGAGAAAAGATAACCAATAAATACAATGGGTATGTTCTGTAGTAATGGTCAACTGGGATGCATGTCCGGGAAATTTCATATAAGGCACAAAATGTTGCCATATCTACAAATGTAGGAAATTTGTACCGACACTGGAAAATGAGAGTACATTGAATAGGGACCGAAATTTTGCCTTGCAACAGGCCACATGTGGACCCCTCAATGAGGTTGTTGTCTGGGGTTGTTGTAGAGGTTCTATAAGCGTGGTATTCTCTCTCAACAAGGCATCAACGTCCCATTCTATTCAGACGGGGCTGCGTATGTATACATCCCGTACAGCTAAACGGACAACCCCTTTGGCAAGTTTTCAACTGGAATGTAGGACAGAAAGTCACAGGACAAAAAAATCACGGGACAAAAAGTCACAGGACAAAAACTCACTATTCAGTTCTGAGATTATTATACTTAAATAATAAAACACTTATACATTGAAAAAATCATTTTTGTGTTTTTCTTGAACTATTATATATAAAGCAACTCCGTAATTAAAATGTATTCCTTAAATATTGATAATAAGGATTGGCTCGCTCATCCAAGTTGTGTGAACTTGTATATTGAGAAACTTGTATCGTCTCGCCCGCTTTTACAACTTTAAATTAATTTGTGATGATGCTTAACAACTTAGACCAGAGAACACCTGGTGAATGACTATTGGCTAGCTCACCACTATTGTAATAACTCGTATGTGGAAAGGAATTCAGTGATTTTGCTAGCGCTCGTCACTTTCGTAATTTACGAAACTGTTTTCAAAATGACGAAAGTATTTCAAATCAATTTCGTCACTTAAATTTGGAAAGTGTAAAAATATTTTCGCATGAAAATACTATAATTCTACCTGTCTACATGTTTCTGACAAGTTTATGACCCTCAGCTAATTAACATTTACAACAGGTGTTATAAAGTTGTTATTACAGCTAATCCGCTTATCGCCATCGGATGGGTCACTAATCCAGTTAATTATTTTCCCCAGTAAAATTAGTCAGTCTGCATTTTAATTTCAATATTTCTCAAGGCCAATGACCACAATTTGCAGTTCGTTTGTCGTAGTTTCGTCATTTGAACAAAATTGTTTTCCCCCTGACAGTTCGCTTTTTAATTTCAATATTTCTAAAAGGATCATAATTTGCAGTTTGTTTGTCGTAGTTTCGTCAAATGATCGTATTTTCGTCATCTTTGATATCAATCGTTCAATTTCTTTTAAAAAGATAAAAAGACACCAAGATAATAAACAAGTAAGGAACTTAATGAAGGAATTACCACCAGTTCCTTCCCAAAATTTGGGGACATTTGCTGGAGTTTTTTGGTGTGACACCAAGTTTTTACATACAATGACATTATGTAAATATTTGTGTGTGCACTAAAATGTATGAATAACAATACATTTTTTAGGAATACTGCAGCTTTCATGCTGTGTGGAGAGAAAAGGTAGATATTTTTATAATTCCATCATTCACAAGTTCACCTATCTCCCATCCCCATTCCTTAGTAACATCTATAATTAATACAACAGCTCTTATTCATACCCTACACTCGACAGGTACAGAAAGAGTATCTCCCATCCCTATTCCAGAGTAACATATCTATAATTAATACAACAGCTCTTATTCATACCCTACACTCTACAGGCACAGAAAGAGAATCTCCCATTACCATTCCATAGTAACATATCTATAATTAATACAACTGCTCTTGTCCATACCCTACACTCTACAGGCACAGAAAGAGTATCTCCCATCACCATTCCATAGTAACATATCTATAATTAATACAACTGCTCTTGTCTATACCCTACACTCTACAGGTTCATACCCTACACTCGACAGGTACAGAAAGAGTATCTCCCATCACCATTCCATAGTAACATATCTTTAATTAATACAACTGCTCTTGTTCATACCCTACACTCTACAGGCACAGAAAGAGTATCTCCCATCCCTATTCCAGAGTAACATATCTATAATACAACAGCTCTTGTTCATACCCTACACTCTACAGGTTCATACCCTACACTCTTACAGGTACAGAAAGAGTATCTCCCATCACCATTCCATAGTAACATATCTATAATTAATACAACTGCTCTTGTCCATACCCTACACTCTACAGGTTCATACCCTACACTATACAGGCACATAAAGATTATCTCCCATCACCATTCCATAGTAACATATCTTTTATTAATACAACTGCTCTTGTTCATACCCTACACTCTACAGGTTCATACCCTACACTCTTACAGGTACAGAAAGAGTATCTCCCATCACCATTCCATAGTAACATATCTTTAATTAATACAACTGCTCTTGTTCATACCCTACACTCTACAGGCACAGAAAGAGTATCTCCCATCACCATTCCATAGTAACATATCTATAATTAATACAACTGCTCTTGTTCATACCCTACACTCTACAGGTTCATACCCTACACTCTTACAGGTACAGAAAGAGTATCTCCCATCACCATTCCATGGTAACATATCTTTAATTAATACAACTGCTCTTGTTCATACCCTACACTCTACAGGCACAGAAAGAGTATCTCCCATCACCATTCCATAGTAACATATCTTTAATTAATACAACTGCTCTTGTTCATACCCTACACTCTACAGGCACAGAAAGAGTATCTCCCATCCCTATTCCAGAGTAACATATCTATAATACAACAGCTCTTGTTCATACCCTACACTCTACAGGTTCATACCCTACACTCTACAGGTACAGAAAGAGTATCTCCCATCACCATTCCATAGTAACATATCTATAATTAATACAACAGCTCTTGTTCATATCCCACACTCTACAGGCACAGAAAGAGTATCTCCCATCACCATTCCATAGTAACATATCTATAATTAATACAACAGCTCTTGTTCATACCCTTCAGGTACAGATTCAGATGGTTTGATGAATATTGTACATACATGTGCATTGTGTGTATTAATCGGTCATTTTGTTAGAGATGGCCTTCACACCAACCTTTAAATCCCCTTTATCCCTAAATTGGTACAAGTTTCATTCAAAGTTTTGTATATGATTACATGCACACACAGGTACAACAAAAATTTTGTTTATTATTATATTGGGTACATGTAGCTAGTGGTAGAATCTAAATTCATGATGGGGGGAAAAGGTACATTGTACTTGTAATGTTACAAAAAAATATTCAGATGTTGTAATGAAATAAGATAATGGAGGGTAATAGCCTTATTAGAATTATCATCTTAATAAATATGGCCATTTGCAAAACATCCCTACCGGACAAATTAAAATTCTATGTTGCCATTTAAATTGGTATACATGTATTAGTCTAAAAAATAGATATTTAGCCTTGAGAATTGAAAAGGTCAGTTACCCCAATTCAAACAGTAGTTGATAGATTTGGCTTCCAGGCGGAAACCCAGTTGAAATTAAACAAAAGAAATGGAACTCTTTGTTCAAGAAAGTAAAAAAGACGAAGTTGATAAATTAGAAATGTTTACATCTGTTTCTATGGGCTTTAAAAGTTTAATGAATGTGCCTAATTAAGGATTTTATGCATCTTATGTATGTGTTTTTACTTAAATTATTGAATTGAGCTTCAATATATTTGTAAAATTTTAAATTATAGACAAATTTTCACAAAACAGTCGATTGTGGTAGGTGCAAATTCACTTGGATCTTTTTTGTGCATAAGCATAAATTCAGCCGAAAAAAATTCCAAAGAAAGATAATAGATTTATCTTTTTAAAGCATCAATTTGCATTTCTGCCCCCAGTGACATTTTTTTGAAAAAAAATCCCCAAATTAGGCAATAATTTCATAGGCGTGTTTGAGTTGACTATTCTGTCTTGAAAACGTATAAAAGAAAAATATTTGATACATCTTCTAGCTTCAGATTCTATTATTTTTATATATTTAGGCTGTAGGTTGATACAATAACATTAAAAATTTACAGTACTAAAAGATGAAATATATGGGTCAAGTGAAATACCTTTCTAATGAGTCATAACAACAGAGAAGGTGTGCATGGTGTGTTCAAATAACAAATTTTTACAAAAAGTACTTGACAGCTACCTTTTCTGGTGGATCTTAAAAATGCATAACTTCAAAAAAACTCCATCTTTTTGTGTGTGTTATCTAGGGTAATTAGTCTTCAACCTCTGAAAATTTTTAGTCTGCCCTTCCACAAAATATTTAATTAGAATTTTTTTAAATATTTTTGAATTTTCGAAAATTCCCCCTGACAACTGCTCAGACAATAGTTTCAAGTTGACCAACTGCATAAAAGTACATTAAATGATGCTCAATAGCTAGTAGATACATTTGTCTTTTAAAATACACCAGCATGTAAGGATCGTAATGATACTATGTGAATAAACTTATCAGTTTTCAAGAGCTAAATTGACAGCGGGTCATCAATACAATGGCTTCCATTTTTACGATTATAAAAATTAGGTGGCGTAATGGGGAGAATCCTGACTGGCTTCATGCCATTTATCTTGTCCATAATTGAGGTCACTTTATTGTTATTGTGATATTGTTAAAGTACAAAAGAACCCTATATTCTGACCCATACTTAATCTTGAAAAGTTTATGTATCTTGAGTTACTTGTTCAAAATCTGTGAATGTTGAAATATTTTGGGCCCTTTTATTGCATTTTACATTACATGGCAGTTCTTTTGTGATATAAGAAAATACTATCTGCCTACTTGTTATAGAAATAGACTATGCTTGACTTGTTTTCTCTACATTCTCTTGTTCACACCAAAATCTGATAGAGAATTATTTTGTTACAAAATATTTCAAATGAGAGCTGAAATTCTTTCTATCTTAAGATTCATCATAACATATAGACAAAAATGCCTGTGTTTTCATCTAAAAATTTACTCCGAGTACAGACAAACCACAGTTGGAATAGTTTTATGGCCTAGCATGCACTAGACAGCTAGATATGTCAAAGTAAATAGCATTTTGTGTTGCAGAAAGATAAAATCTTTTTTAGGATATTGATGGACAATTTTTTCATTCCTGCAAAAGGTGTAAAAATAAACGTAGTTGATATATATATAGTAAATGGCTGGCTTGATAGTTATATTGATTCAAGACTTTACTACTACTTTGAGATAAAAACAAAAACAGTACATTGAGCACAACATTCTACACATCCTATTCATGAATATTTCAAGAAATTTATCAATAAAATATATACTCAGATATTCAAGTTACAAAATGATATGTAAGTAATCATGCTTATATCAAGAAATTTACATAGATTGTGCATGGTGCATGAACAAAGTACAATGTATTTGTTCTATAAAATATCAATGAAATCATTTGTTAAAAGCACTATTTAAAATTTGAGTTATCTTCCTTTGTCCATAAATGTAGTTTAACTACCACAAATTTCCTACCATTGCTTAATACAATGCAATGTTTAATTTTAAGTTTCCACTACAAAATGAATGCAATCTTTACCTTTCAGTGCTGACATGCGCTTGGATTTTTTACTCACAAATGCTGGTTTCTGATTTTCTTGTGACGTGTACGTGAAAAAAAAGATATGGGACACTTGTGATGTACATACATATGTATATGTTAATTTATCGAAAATGCTCCAGAATTTTAATTACTTTTTGCTTAAAGGAGTAGGCCCAGTAAGACCCCTTTTTGGCCCAAAAATATAGCATTTTTACAAATTTGTTAATATGTAAACTTTAAGCTATTTATTGGAAAGTAGAATACTTCTGTTACATAGACTAATATAGATATGAGCTGTTTTTTACAATGCACATGCATCAGTTACTAACATCATTAATTCATGCAAAGTTACTGAAATCTTCACAATTTTAGCATTTGTGCTAATATCTAGACAGTTTTTGTCAAAAATGGAAGTGGCTGCACTTAAGTCTTAATATTTAAAATAAAATTGAGAATGGAAATGGGGAATGTGTCAAAGAGACAACAACTCGACCATATATGTTGTATTTGATGATAATACATAACATATGTAAAGGTTGAGACTGAACAACTAAAAAGTGACATTTTATGGCATATTTAATAGATTTTTCATATTTAAGCTTGAATTTGAGCATCTTTAATGACCAAATCAGTTGTAATCTTTTACATACACTAATTGAGTTGACTGAAGTAGTACCTTAAGTGTTTAGAAAATGTAAAAAAAATCTTGCACGAGATGTACTTCAAAATTTAGGCCAAAATAAGCCCTTTAGGGACCTTCTCCTTTGGTAAATTTACCATATGAAGTCAATTTTAAGATGTGACAGTGTTCTTGTTTATTATCATGAAATGTAAGCTAATATTAACAATTAATGAATGATACCAAAGGTGTATAAAAGAGTAGACATAGAACACAGCCCATCAACATGCTTTAGTGTTTTTGTACATCTGAGTATTAAAGAAAATCCCTGAATGATGATATCAATAAATTATATATGATATCTGGTTAAGAAATCTAACCAATACTAACCTGAATTGATTAATAATTTCACTATAAAATACTGGACATGCTGAAACAATATACATTGTAACCTTCGAGACAACCACAGAGCAAATCAAGAAATGTGTAAAATAACTTGGCAGGAAATAAAATGTAAATCGGGAAAACAATTTGAGTGGACTTGGCAGAAAATAGCATGTAAATAGGGAAAATAATTTGAGTGAACTTTGCAGGAAATGAAAAAGGGATATCAATTTGAGTGGACTTTGCCGGAAATAAAATAGGGATAACAATTTGAGTGGACTTGGCAGGAAACAACATGTAAATAGGGAAAACAATTTGAGTGAACTTTGCAGGAAATGAAAAAGGGATAACAATTTGAGTGAACTTTGCCGGAAATAAAATAGGGATAACAATTTGAGTGGACTTGGCAGGAAACAACATGTAAATAGGGAAAACAATTTGAGTGAACTTTGCATGAAATGAAAAAGGGATAACAATTTGAGTGAACTTTGCAGGAAATAAAATAGGGATAACAATTTGAGTGGACTTGGCAGAAACTAACATATAAATAGGGAAAACAATTTGAATGGACTTGGCAGGAAATAACATGTAAATAGGGAAAACAATTTGAGTGAACTTTGCCGGAAATAAAATAGGGATAACATTTGAGTGGACTTGGCAGTAACTAACATGTAAATAAGGAAAACAATTTGAGTGGACTGCATAACAATTTCAATAAACATACTATCCTAAAGCAAGAAAAATGAAGTAACATACAAAAACACTTGTTCTCTCTTTCATATACCATGTATACCATCCTGGTAAACAGAGTTTTGAAATATCTTTTTTGAGAAATTATAACATTACATCCACAACAAAATTTTAGATTTCAGATAGCATAACATTCAAGTGATTTAACATCACATAAAGTCCCTGGGGAAAACTCAGAAATACTGTCATAAATTGATATAGAAATTCAATATATTACAAGTTGTGCGAGGCAGAAGTGCCTTTTTATTTTGCAAGCAATTGTACAAGTTCATTTATGAAGATGTGCATGCGAGAAGGAATTTGATTTTCAATTATTTTTAACACAATTTTTATTACTGTAGTTGTTGAACTTTGTAAATTTTGGGGTAATTTGTGTACAGTTGACTGTTGATTTATTTTCATGGATAATTGATTTCATGTTACAATGTATAAACATGATCTGCATACAAGCGTATAGAAAATGTGAACTTTGTTAAACTCTTTATTTCATGAAATCCAAGTAAATTAATATCACTAAATAGTAATCATGATATAAATGTATTGTCCAAGAAAAATAAAAATGAAGGTTTATTCTACTTTTAGATATATTGGTGGAAGTCAAATGTCCTACGGTTGGTCGTCCGATGAACTCGGTACAACAGGAAGTAAAAGGACGAAGATGTCCCACCATAATATCAGCATCACTAGCTGGGACATTAATGATTCTTTGGCTGCAGACTTTGATGGATCATTATCCGGACTAGGAAATGACCTGGGATCAGGCACTTATAACATGAGGTATTTTAAAACTATTTAATGAATTGATATATTTTTGCGAAACGTTACTAGTAGGAATTATTGTATGGTTTAGCTTGCTTAACTTATAGAAGTTTGATACTTATGATGTATATCTATCTGCACAATGTACTTTGTATTGATAATTTTTTTTTTAATGTACAATGTAAAGTCAATCTAAACACATGCTGTAACTATATAACTTTTGTTTAATTCTGCCACCATAGGATTATATAAACCGTTCATCATTGCTTGAATTGATCTTTCTGTTTATATTTGCATCACCATGTTTGGATTGATTTTATTATTTTATGTATTCAACACCACTGTTCGGGTCACTGTTTTTGTCTCCCCTGTAATGAAAGTCGTGGAAAGCAAGACATAGGGATTGCTTTTCCAGCAACGATGACGATGGCCTCATCAATTGTTTAGTTTTCTGCTTAAGTTAGTTTGATAGGAATTACTTGTGGTAGATCATTGATATTTAATATTAAGTTGCATGACTATCAGTACATGAACCTATCATTTTGATGACTATTTTGAGGCCCTGCCCCCTAGGACATGGTCCAGTGACTTTGAATTAATTAGCAATTTTCAATGTTTAGTTTTATGCTTAAATTAGATTGATAGGAACTACTTACATTAGACAACAATATTTACTATAAAGTTACATTACTGTTGGTACATCTCAGTTTGTCAACCATTTTGAGGCCCTGCCCACTAGATCATCCTCTAGCGACTTTGAATTAATGAGCAATGTTGCTGTTCATCAGATTGTCTTTTTCTGAATTTTATGTCGACAAGCGAGACATATCTCTGTGTCCACAGTTTATTATTTTAAGTTTGTAATACCAGTGTTTAGATTGGGAGGTAAAAATTGCATAAAATGCAATCAAATCTCTTATTTCAGGTTTGATAGCTATTTATTTTCCAGGCCTCATCCCTACTTTTGATAGAACAAACAACATAGTACAGTGTTGTGAACATTCTTCAGATCAATCTCATACCATAAAGTAAACTATTAAAGGCCAAGAATTGACAAAATGTAAAACAATTTAAACAAAATCAGGGGCCTAGTATTTATGTACAAAATAATAAATGAAAAACAAATATGATAGACAGTGACAAACAACAACCACTGAATCACAGCCTTCTGACTTGGGATAGAATGTGGCGACATTAAATATGTTAGCGAGCTTTCAACCCTCCCCTAACCTGAGATAGTGGTATAACAGCACAAAATAAGAACAAACTATAAAATCAGTTGAAAAAAGGCTTGACTTCTCAGATCGACACAAAGCACAAAAAATAAGTAACAGACTAAAGACACGCATTACAGATCAAAGAGTACTCCCATTTACTGAAAGCTATTTCAAAGCCAACTAAAACTTTTAAAATAATCCTTTTTCACTGACCAATGTTTCCCAGATGTTTTGTTGTATGATGTTTTATGTCTTTTCAGTGAGGCATTGCTTGCATTACCAGTCTTTAAACAGGAAAATTTGGACACAGGGTAAGTTTATATGGATATATATAATTATTGTCCCCCGCAAGACGCGTTGCGTGAGACATAGAAATACTGGGCATCAGTCCATCTGTCTGTCCGGTCTTGTAAGGGCTCTTACGTGTACAATTCTTGCCAGAATTTTTCAAAACTTATATCATAGGTTTATATCAGCAATGTCTCAAAAATGTTCGAAAATCAGTGCAGATCAATTATTAAGCAGTTAAGCTGCTTTATGCGAGCACCCTAGATTTGTGTTCTACCCAATAAATGCTGAAATATGTGCCATTGTTATTATCTGGCTGGCTATTATGTTATTTATAACTAATTGAACACTTTTTTCATACTTTTAATTCTGGAATACAAAAAATATGACCAGAAAAACCTTAAATGATCGTCGAACCACCCAAAAGTTTTGAAGTTGCACATAGGAAGTAGTGCTCAATAGAAATCCTTATGTAGTTTATTATCCCCTGTGCTTTTGGCCAAGATGTCAAAGAACAATTGCATGAATTATTTCATCGCCGAAAATCTCTAATTACAAGTCGTTTACAGTTGCCAAATGGCACAAAGCGCAGGAATATTGTATAACGGCTGTGACTAATATGACACGGAGTTGAAGTCTCAGTTGGCGGTAATTTTAACTTCGTCGACAATACGTAAATCAAGGACGTTTTAAATTTGGTGATTTCTGATAATAATCATTTTGTTCAACCGCTAGCTTTATACCGAAAATCGCCAACATGTTATGTGTAAATCCGAGTAAATCGTATCTGACTGACAAAAACAACATCGAAAAACAATGGATGCCATAAACCGGAAATGAAGACAATTATAATACCGGATCTAATTCCGGGGGAGGATAAGGGAAAATCCGGGTTTGCCGATCAAATACAATAAAAATATAATAATTCCAGGCATGAGACAAAATACATCTATCATGATGAAATATAAACTCTAGAATTGAAAACCAAAGATATATTGAAAAGAAAGAAAAAGCAGGAAATATTTTATACAGAAACTCAAAATTACTTTTAGTTCACAAATTTTCATGTCAAAAACCAATAAAATGTGACAGTATTTTCCTTATCATTAATAAATATTGATATAACATGTAGATGTTTTTATTGTTTAAACATATTACTACAATTCCATGAGGTAATTTCTTCTCAATTTTAAAGGGCCTATAAAAATCTGGAAGTTTCTTACTTTATTTTCACAGAGGAACTAGCTAATATAATATATAGTGCAACTAGATATGATACACTTAAACAGTTTTGAATTTGAACTGTTTAATATAATGGTATAATTAGTAATAAATAATCAATTGTTGAGACAACACATCCACCCACAGTGATACCCTCAGCCTCCCTCAGCCTTCCTAATACAAAAAAAAAGATTATTTAAATTCATAAATTAATATACAAGACAATTACATTTATTATTAAACAAATTAAACGACAGTGACACTGACAATGAAACAAGCTAACTTAACACCAAAAGCACATTAAAGTATCTTACTGAGTTATGAACTATTTCAAGTAAAAGCAGGACCTGGAATTTAGGTTGTGGACCTTTCAGTTTGGAGTGTCAAAGGTCCTGGACTGTCCAGTACCAAATGTTAATTTTAACCCCTGCATTCACAGTAAAGCGATTTTGACGTGTATTGCAATTCCAAGTAGAATTTACTTTTGGACATTAAACGTTTCGAATGCGTATTAAACTAATTCAAATCAGTTAATAATGTGAATCGAATTCGAATTATGTGTGAACGCAGCATTGATATATCTAAGAAATGAAGAATATTAAAAAAAGATGGACAAAATATTTGTATTCATTTTGTTGCAATTTTTGTCTTGCCTTGACAGAGTCAAAAAGTGAGACATATATATATATATAGGCATGCTGTTTTGGCGGAATCAACAATGTATTAGTTTGTGATTTTGTGATAAGGTCTGGTTTCTGGTAGGTCAATGACATTTTGTAAGTAGTTGTGTTAGCATAGGCACATCTCATTACCATAGAGAATATTTGGCCCCACTCCCTTAGTCATGGTCTATTGACTTTGACACTTTGCATAGTTTACATGTATATGTTTGTGATTAGGTCAGTTTAGGGGGAACCACTAGTGGTAGGTCAATGATATTTGGTGTGCAGTTGTATAAACTTTTTCATTTCTAATTTCCATTGAGATTATTTGGCCCCGCCCCCTCAATCATGCTCTTTTTACTTGAAAACTTATGTTACTTTGAAATTTCATTTATTAGTTTTCGATTAGGTTAGTATTAGGGAAACCAATAGTGGTAGGTCAATGATAATTGGCATGTAGGTGTAGAAGCATTAGTACGTCTCATTTCCATAGAGGATATTTGGTCCTCACCCCTCAGTCATATGCATGATCTATTGACTTTGAAACTTTTACTTAGTTTACATGAATGAGTTTGTGATTATTATGATTATGTCAGTTTAAAATTACCAGTAATCTTAAGTCAAAGCTATTTGTTATGCGAATGTATTGGTATTCAAAAGTTTCATTTCAATGGATATTATATAACCCCACCCCCTCATTATGGTTCATTGACTTAGAAATTGAATTTGTGTTAAGGTTTGTTTAAAGGGAACGACTTATGAAAAGTCAATGGTATTTGGTTTGCAGTTGAACAAGCATTGGCACCTTTCATTTCCATAGAGATTGTTTAGCCTTGTACCTTCAGTCATGGTTCATTGACTTTGAATATCACTTACATGTTAAAGTATTACTATTTTAAGTGTAACATTTGCATTATCAAAATAACAAATAGGCAAAACATTACGTTGTGTTAATAGCTTATTATAGATTAGACATGTGTAATTATTATAAAAATAGGGGGAGATGTGGTATGATTGCCAATGAGACAACTATCCACCAAAATTCAAATGAAGTGGATGTAAGCAATTACAGGCAACCGTACAGCCTTCAAAAATATATGTTGCATCATTGCTAGGCCATTATAACAACATCAGCATTTCTTGTAATACTAGTATACAAGAAAATTACACCATTTCAGATAGTTTCAGGTATGATTTGATAATTGTGCATAGTGGCACCAGCTGATCCAACTAAAAGCGCTAATATGGCATATTCAAACTCTAGAACATAGTGGAATTAAACCATACACCACTGTTGGACACCATAATTGAAATTATTATTCTGAAAAGAATATTCCTCCATGCAGCCTGCAACAATTAGCAAAACCTATACTGCATAGTAAGATATAAACGACCACGAAATGACAAATGTAAAACAATAAAACTAAAGCAGCCTGATTTATGTACAAAACAATTATGAAAAATAAATATGATATACAGCAACAATCAACAATCACCAAATTACTGGGTCCTCACTATGGACAGGTACATACAGAATGTGGCGGGTTAAACATGTTAGCTGGCACAAAACTCTCCCCTAACATGGGACAGTGTATGTGCATAATCTCAGACATTGAATCTTTAAAAAATAAATTGGAAATAACTTTTGAAAGTGGTAGGATTGGATAGCAGAAACATTACGGTACAAACATTATTTGATACTTGAGAAATAGCTGAGATATATAGATTCTACCACTGCATCGAGTGTGATACGATATTTATCCACTCGAGACAGTCAATGACAGTTAAATTTTCAAATTTAAAACGCGAGGCTCGCCGAGCGTTTTAAATATTTTTTTTTAAAATTTAACTGTCGAGAGTGGATAAATATCGTATTACACGAGATTTGGTGGTGGAATCTGTTTCTCTAATGATTTTCAAACAATATTCAGGCAAACTTATTCCGTTTTTTCGAATGATCTGTAAAAAGATGTGTTCTTTCTATGTGACGTCATCAGACATGGTCGCCTTTTTTCATGCCGTCACAATAGGAAATTCAGAGGAAAGCAAGTAAATTCGACGTCATAATCGGATTTTAACCAATGAAGAACTGAGATCAAACGAACCACACGTTGATTAAATTTTTTGTATACAATGGGTGCAGAAAGGGATAAATTGACGAAGAATTAGAGAAAAATATTTTCATCCATTCTTCCGCTATATTCATCTTAACTTCTGCCAAGTTTACCTTTGATTTTTTTAATTAACTGCCTATAGCGCCTTTGGTGCTTTGATTTTTAAAAGAGTTATGCCCCTGGGAAATTATAATTTTATGAAAAACTGCATTGTTAGTGCTCTTGTGTGTACATTGTTAGTGCTCTCGTGTGTACAATGTACAATTCTTTGCAGATTTTGATCAAATTTATATCAAAGGTTTATATCAGCAATGTCTAGCTATATATAGGACAAGTTCGAAATTCAGTGCTGATCAATTATTTTTAAAAGAGTTATGCCCCTTGGAAATATTAATTATATTAGAAATTGCATTTTATATGCTCTCAAGCCTTCATTTCTGTAAGATATTTGTAAAAAGTTTTAAAGAACAAAAAAGTTTTTAAGTTATTGTCCTTGGATGAATAAAATATGTGCAATGCAGGGGACATTGCTTCTCTGTTCTTTTATTGATAACAGATTTGTTCAGGTATTTCTGATTCACCTAGAGAAGACTAAATAACATTACTTTAAGCATATAAATGTAAAGTAGCACTGTCATTGTCATAATTAATATGACAAATTTAAAAAATATGTTTATGCTTTTAAATACTCATAAACTTAGTTTTATCTCTTTTATGGCCTTGATTTTGGTGTGATAATCACCTGGTAGTACATAAACTTGTATGTCATTGAGCATGTTGAGCATAAGATGGTATACAGAGGTTTTTTTTGAAATTTATATGAGATATTTCCAGTATTACCAAAAGTAAAGAGAATAGTATTTTTAATGAAATTTCATTTTTGCGTCTGATTTTAAACATTTCTTGATCATCAGGAAAGTTCACCGCCAAAAATTAGGAGGTGGTCAAAGAAGGAAAATACACGGGAGCTATATATATATAACACAAATTGGCAAAAAATCATCCCGGGTAAACTTTGTGTGGCATAGCTGAATTCTTAGTTATTTGAAAATGTACAAAATTTGTCTGCTGAGAATTGAAATGTACAAAATAATCCCAAAACATTGCATGTACTAGGTGTGTTCAACTATTAAAAGGAAAATGTCAACATTTAAAATGAAACAAGGATGAACCATTTCTTTGACTAATTCGATCACAAAAAATTATTCTTATACAGGTATAAACAATGATTAACATATTTTTTTAACCTATAATATGAAATCAAACAAACCTAGAAAAAGCCAGTTGCATGTGCAAGCTATCTATTTATATTTATGTTTATACTGGGTTATATGACCTTTGATAGTCTTTGGAGGTCTTCTCCATGGTTGTTTAGATGGCATCTAGACTAAAATACACACAAAATGTTGATACATTATATTGAGTCCATGTATTGTTAATAGTTTATTTTAGACTTTTTGTAATACAGATATATGTTTTAGTATGTTATAAATCAAATATGAGAATTTGAGTCAAATCTAGATCTGTGAACAAGAATTTGACAGTTAATGCCCCTTTAATCTTTCTGCTTCAGTTAGTTTGATAAGATTTATGATATTTTCTATGAAGTTACATTACTATCAGTACATATATATCAGTTTGACTACTATTCCGATGAACTGCCCCCTATGTCATGGTTCAGTGACCTTGAATTAGTTAGCAATGTTGCTGTCCATCAGACTGTCTTTTTCTGAATTTTCTAACGACAGGCTGGACATATCTCTGTGTAATCAGTTTATTGACTCTAGAATGTTTTTGCAGTTTACATGTTAAAGTTTGTGATTAGGTCAATTTAAAGGGAATATTATTTGGTAGCATTGGCATATTTCATTTCAGTGGAGATAATTTGACTCTTAACATTCGCTTGTGGTTCATTGACTTTGGGATTTTGCTTAGTTAACATCTTGAAGTTTGTGATTTTACCCATAGCTAAGTTTAATGGGAATCAATGATATTAGGTATGCAGTTACATTAACGTTGGGATATCTCATTTCTACTGAGATCATTTGGCCCTGAACCATCAGTCTTTGTTCTTTTAATGCTTTTCATAATTAACATGTTAAATTATTGCCATTTTAACATCAAAATTATCTACAAGATTGTGTTTATGCTTCTTTGTAGGTGTTTTAAAAAACAGTTCCCCTGGTGTTTCTGTGATATATTCAATATACTTATATATTTTCTAAATGAACAGGTTCCAGTATATATTAGGGGCAGCTACATCTCCAGCAGTGAAACTAAATGAAGAAACACTGACCTACCTCAATCAAGGTAATTCACTAACACTGATTCATACTACCCTTTATACTGAAGGGCAGTATGACCTTTTGCAACACTTTGCATCCGTCCTGCGTCTGTCTGTCATCTTTAAACTTTTCTTTAAGAAATCTTCCTCTGAAACTGTTTTTCCAAAAACTATAGGAGCTATGTTAAAAATGTAAACTGCAAAAATGATCGGCATTACAAGATTTATCGACCCTGAAAATTGTAAAAAAGTCTTACAACTCATTTTGGAGTTATTGCCCATGAAATTTTGTTTTCCAATTTTTATAGTATGTGCATATAAAATTAGCTAACCGGCAATTTTTCACTAGGTCAATTAGATGACTTGAATAGAAGTTCTAAATGCAAATTCACTATTCCAAAACTACCATGCATTGTTGTTTTAAGCAATAGTGATTTTGGAAGTGCTCATGAGAGAATTTAAAGGGATAGTAGCTACGATTTTGACAAAATTATGACCAAGTTTTAAAGCTGCTAAAATCAAAGATATGTACTTTAAATTAACAATAAGATCAGTGGAATGTTTATATAAAGTACAGAAGTGTTAATAATTGATAATTAATATCGTGTAGCGTGCCTTTTCATCTCATTAATTATGCATCAGGTTTACTTCCCGAACTTTGCCGACACAGCAAGTGAGATGACCAAGATATAAATAAATATGAACACGTGCTTTTGTTTTCTTACGTATTTGACAATTTCTGTAGATTAAACGTACATATTTGAAACCTTTTATCAAATTATATAAACAACAAAATATACCAAATGACTGCATATTATTCGAACCCAAGGTTCTCCAACAATGGCGATATTATACACTTGTTTTATATTTGTATGACAAAACAATGCCGATAACGTATACACATGTTTGTGAATTGAATTGGGGCCTTCATGCAGGGTACACCGGAAGAATAATATTAAATTGTAAGAAGTTGATTTTTAATGTCTTCTAAGTTGTGAGATCACTGCTCTTAAATTTATAAAGATATTTTGGACAATAATGATTTGAACACGTCGCGATTTATTTTCAGATCATCAATTACTTGATTACTCTTTGTTGCTTAATCTTGTTTGCTAATGGATCACATGTAACTCTGAAGGCATGTTTGTTTCGCGTTGATTTTTTCGTTTGAATTGTTTCACATTTTGTCATGTGATCTGGATTCGAAAAGTTCAGAAATGTATTTTGCATTTCGCAAACCGTCGTAATGTCGACTGCTTATATAATGACTTTATCTGCGTGACGGGTGTTTGTAAATGATTCTAATGACCGATCTCATCGCCGTTATTTATTTTCAATTTACAATAACTTGTCTGCACCTCTTTACTGTTTCTTCTTCTCGCAGAAACTGTAAACACACGTTCCATTATCGCGATACATTCCTCTGTTCGACATTTTCCCTTCGAGGGACAACTTGCGATTGCGCATTGGGAACTGCAGAGTAAAGGTCAACATAGGTCATATGAATAAGGGTTGGCTTAATATCGAATTTTTGTCTATAGACAAAAATTAAATTCAGGTGTAAAACGTTAAAAAGCTTCTAAATGCTAATTGGAAAGTAAACAGTGATGGTTTTATTCATTCTAAATAAACCTTTTGTACAAAATCCGGCATATAGATTAGAAAAATAATTTTAATGAAAATCGTAGCTACTATCCGTTTAAGATAAATTTTATAAATTTTGTATACTGAGTGCTGGTTGTGTTGAAAACCCTTGTAAACTTTGTAAAATAAAATTATTTATAATTGTTTCATTTGTAATGAGTACTCTTCAACATTTTCATTTATACAGGACAGTCGTATGAAGTAAAAATGAAGAAACTGGGTGATTTATCAGATTTCCAAGGAAAGTATCTAAAGGTATATTATAAATATCTTAAGCAGTATCATTGTTTCAATGCATGTTAGTAGAAAAGATAATAAAACACATAAAAAGACGGAGAAAATTAACCACAAAGATAAAAGTAATATTGTCGGAAAATCTAATTGGTCAGTTATCAGCCTGAATTGTACGAGAAAATTATAGTAAATTCAAGAAAATGTTTATGTTTTTCCTTTTTTTTTTTTACCCCTCCACTTGTTGGTTTGGTCCATATAGTTTTACCTTATTCCGTCATTCCGTAACGAACAATTATACACGCTTTATGCCCCCGCCGTAGCGAAGGGGGCATTAAGTTTTACCCTTGTCCGTCTGTATGTCCGTACGTCCCAAAATTGGTTTCCGTTCTCTACTTTTAGTTTGCCTAAACCAAATGTTATGAAACTTATACACAATGCTTATTACCACAAAACACAGATCAAGTTTGAATTTTGGTGGCGTCACTTAAACCGTTCTAGAGTTATGCCCCTTTACAAATGGAAAAATTGCTAAATTTTTCGTTTCCGTTCTCTAATTTTAGTTTGCCTAAACCAAATGTTATGAAACTTATAAACCATGCTTATTACCTTAAAACACAGATCAAGTTTGAATTTTGGTAGAGTCACTTTTACCGTTATATAGTTATGTCCCTTTACAATAAGAAATATTGCTGAATTTTTCATTTCCATTCTCTAACTTTAGTTTGCCTCAACCAAATGTTATTAGACTTATACACAATGCTTATTACCACAAAACACAGATCAAGTTTAAATTTTGGTGGCGTCACTTTTACTGTTCTAGAGTTATGCCCCTCTACAAATGGAAATATTGCTGAATTTTTCGTTTCCGTTCTCTAACTTTAGTTTGCCTCAACGAAAGGTTATGAACTTATGCACAATACTTATTACCACAAAACAACATTCAAGTTCGAATTTTGGTGGCGTCACTTTTACCGTTCTAGAGTTATGGCCCTTTACAAATGGAAAAATTGCTGGATTTTTTGTTTCCTTTCTCTTACTTAAGTTTGCCTCTACTAAATGCTATGAAACGTATACACAATGCTTATTACCACAAAACTCAGATCAATACAAATTTGGGTAGTGTCACTTTTACAGTTCTTGAGTTATGTCCCTTTATAACATTATATGCAAGCGGGGGCATCATCTGTGTCCATGGACACATTCCGCATTTATTTCTAAATGCCTTCACATATTGATCTGTGTTTAGTCCTCTATGGTGAGTTACAGATCGAGTTAAGGTTTGGTTCCGCTCCGTGGATTTTTGCTGAAATTACGGGCTTTGGACTTTGAAAATTTCGCGGAAATAACAGTTATACAGAGTTTTTTTCTAAACACCTTCACATATTGAGCTGATTTTTAGTATGTTAATCTTCTATGATGAGTTACAGAGGGAGTGTACATTTGGTTCTGCTCTGCATTTGTATGAAAATTTAGAAATTCTCCATCTTTGGGCAATTATTATATTTTTGAAATGAAATAAAACCATTCATCTTCAGTGTTATAATTGTATAAAAAATCTTTAAATGACCATAGGATCGGGTAAAAAAATTGCATACCTATGTTTAAAAAAGAAAAATACACAGGTAATTAAGTCTCCCAAACGAAGTTTGGGAAGACTTATTGTTTTTGCTCAGTTCTTATTATTATTCTTCTTCTTCTTCTTCTTCTTCTTCTTCCGCCGCTTTTAAATTTGAACTTGTCCGCACCCGTTCTCCAAAACCGCTTGTCGGATTAACTTAGGGTTTCACAATATGTTAGACTAACATGTCTAGTGGTGCAATCAGGGTTTTGTTTTTGCAATGGGGTTTATAAAGGGGTACTTTGAGGGGCAAAAAGAAAAGAGAGTTTTACTATAGAACCCTATGGGATTTTATTTTTTAAAATTTTCAAATGATTATAAATTGAAAACCTTTCGTGATAGACACAAACTTTTTAATTGAAAATGTTCTAAATGATAAAGCCCATTAAATGAAATACAGGGTTAGTCCCCAGGGGTCACCCCCACCCCCTGCCATTTAAGAAAGTTTTAATACCTTGTAAGTGGTCAAGATCCTCACCCCTAAACCATATATATTCTGGTTTGTCATACTAAGATGGTTTGAATGATATACAGGGTTAGTCCCCAGGGGTTATCCCCATCCCCTGTCATTTGAGAAAGTTCTAATATCTTGTAAATGGTCGAGATCCCCACCCCTAAACCATATATATTCTGGTTTGTCATGATAAAGCACATCAAATGTAATACAGGGTTAGTCCCCAGGGGTCACCCCCCACCCCCTGCCATTTAAGAAAGTTCTAATATCTTCTAAGTGGTCAAGATCCCCACCCCTAAACCATATATATTCTGGTTTGTCATGCTGAGATGGTTTGAATGATATACAGGGTAAGTCCCCAGGGGTCATCCCGACCCCCTGCCATTTGAGAAAGTTCTAATATCTTGTAAATGGTCGAGATCCCCACCCCTAAACCATATATATTCTGGTTTGTCATGATAAAGCACATCAAATGTTATACAGGATTAGTCCCCAGCGGTCACCCCCACCCCTTGCCATTTGAGAAAGTTCTAATATCTTGTAAATGGTCGAGATCCCCACCCCTAAACCATATATATTCTGGTTTGTCATGATAAAGCACATCAAATGAAATACAGGGTTAGTCTCCAGGGGTCACCCCCACCCCCTGCCATTTAAGAAAGTTCTAATATCTTCTAAGTGGTCAAGATCCCCACCCCTAAACCATATATATTCTGGTTTGTCATGCGAAGATGGTTTGAATGATAGACAGGGTTAGTCCCCAGGGGTCATCCCGACCCCCTGCCATTTGAGAAAGTTCTAATATCTTGTAAATGGTTGAGATCCCCACCCCTAAACCATATATATTCCTATTTGTCATGTCTCGAACATTTGAATGACGTATACGGTCAGTCCCCAGGGGTTCCCCCCACCCCCAATGTTCTAATATCTTGTAAATGGTTGAGATTGCCACCCCTAAACCATATATATTCCTGTTTGTCATGTAATGAACATTTGAATGACGTATAGGGCCAGTCCCCAGGGGTTCCTCCCCACCCCCAATATTCTAGTATCTTGTAAATGGTTGAGATCCCCACCCCTAAACCATATATATTCTGGTTTGTCATGCCAAGATGATTTGAATGATATACAAGGTTAGTCCCCAGGCATCACTAATGCATATAACTTTACTGGACCAAACCAATTTTCACTGGACGTTGCCCAATGTCAGGCGACCCTGGGAATTACGAATTATGGGAGCTTCGTTTGGGAGACTTCGTAACAGCATCCTGTTACAATCATTTCTTGTTTTTTAGTGAAATAATAATGAAAATGATGAAGTGCTGCATTCAATCCTTGTGTTGTCTTTTTTTTTTTTTAAACATATGATTTTAGATTGTCCCTTGGTTTCTTTTCGGTTTGAACAGAAATATACATTTTGGTCCAAAATCACTTATCCAACGTTGTGATGGTTGTCTCTAAATGCCTTACAGGAGCATGTATAAATTGTTTGTTTATCAAAAATCAGAAAAAAATGTCTGTCTACCTGCCATAGCTAAAAATTGCTGAATCGCAACACCTACGATGCTTTGATTAGTATGAGTCTACTATGATGAGTTACAGATCAAGTTTATGTTTGGTTCTACACTGCTGATTTTTCCAAAATTATGGGCTGTAGACGAAAAATTTTGTTAGAATAACAGTTAAACAGACATTTTTCTAAACTAAAGGTTTTTTTACGAGCGGGGCGTTCCAACACATCTAGTTTTAAATTATTTTGTGCATATAAACAAATTATATGTCACTTTTTATACGACCACAAAATTTTGCGGTTGTATATTGGTATCACATCAGCGTCGTCAAAAGACAGTTGGTTTTCTGACAATAACTTCAGTATAATTAAATAGAAATCTATGAAATTTAAACACAAGGTTAACAACCACAGAAGGAAGGTTGGGATTGATTTTGGGGGTTATGGTCCTAACAGTTTAGGAATTAGGGGCCAAAAAGGCATTTTTCTAGTTTCCAGACAATAACTTGTGGAACAGTGTATGGATCTCTCTGAAATTATACCACAAGTTTCCATACCACAAAGGAATGGTTAGGATTTGCTTTGTGGGGTTATGGCTCAAACCGTTAAGGAATTAAGGGCAAAAAAGGTGGAAAAACAAGGGTTTCCTGGTTAATGGACAATAACTTAAGACAATTTGAAAGCAGTGTAAGGGAGGTAATCCAAACACGTTTTGATTACCTCCCTTATACATATACTGCTTTTAAATTATGTATAAAGAAATGTTGTATTGTCTTGAAATGATTAACTGTCAATTTATTTTTAGAAGTTACTATTAAGGAATATTAATTTTAGCCATGATTATGTATGTCATTTTCTATTTTAAGACTTTTATGATGTATTTAAATGGGTAATTATGGTTGCAAACTCCATTGGAAACTTGAATTGAGATTATGACCATATCTTGAGGGAAAGAATTTTTTTGGGGGGAAAAGGGGGGGGGGGGGGGTGAAAAAAAAAATTGCGGGGGGAGGGGGTAAAAAGAGATTGTGGGGGGTCAATTTTTTCTCATTTTAGATTTCAGAAATTAAAAAGAAAAATTCTTCAAATATTATTTTTTTTGCAAAAAAAAAGGGGGGAGATCAATACGCAACAGCATAGTGTATTGCACAAAAGCAAAAAAAAAAGGGCGGTTAATTTTTTTTTTTTGTGGGGGGAGGGGGGTCAATTTGTAACAGCAAAGTGTATTGCACAATAGCAAAAAATTGAATATAAATTCAAATCATATAACCAATTCTAAGTTCTTTGACTACAGTTATTCTGTGTCAGAAACCTATTATGTGTCAAATATTTAATTATAATCCAAATTCAGACCTGTATCAAGCGCGAATATTGTGTCCATTTTTGCCCCAACTGTTCAGGGTTGGACCTCTGCTGTTGTATCCAGCTGCGCTCAGCGAAGCAGTTTATCTAGATATAAATTTCCATCAAGATCTGAAGGTGTTTATCTGTACAATCTCGATCACATGATAGACTGGTTGATTTGTCTGAGATCGTTTATTCACCTAAGGTAGTTAAATATCGGAGATGGCCAGTTCAATGAAAGAACAAAATAGCGTCATTGGCAGAACTTTTATTGTCAAAAAGACCTATTTCTTTCTTGAGTTTTTCATTTTTTAGAATAAAAAGATGCATAAGAAAGGGGTTGATAGTGCTCAATGAATCATTCCAAAAGTATTTGAGGAAAGTTTTACCCTTTCTCTGACAACGTGGTCTCGTCCATTTTTTGAATCATCTTCAATTATTTCATTACCGTTTCGTGTTAACAACTAGACTGTTGAACCTGCATAGCTTTAAGGGAAAAATTCCCATTGTCCAGAAATTCATTGCATGCCCGTATTTAATGATTACTGGTCCTTGCATCTCTATTTTCAAAATCAAATTGGGGATAAAACAAAACGAAAAAATTCCGTAAATAAAAATAAAATATCGAGTTTTGCCATTAAATTTTCAATAAATATTAATTAAATTTCATTTTAAATTCAAAATTAACAGAGGATTGCTTGTATATAAAATGGCATTTAATTATACATGGAAACAGCCATTTAGTCAAAAGTTATAAAAGTTGCGGAAGGGAGACAATTTTGGAGGGATAAAGTACTAAAACCAGTATTGTCAAATCTTGTCATATATTTCTGGTGGCAATAATTCAAATATTTTTAAAGTTATCAAATACAACCTTTAAAGGTGGAAGTAATGTTTCAATTGGCAAATATAATTTTTTATTGATAACCCACCTTTAATAATAAAAAAAATTCTTTAAAAAAAATAAGGTTTCTATCAGTTGCAACTTGGAATATGTTAGCCTTTTTAAAACATGTCTCTAATAACATGAAAGTACTGATGGAAAGGGTAATTCCATTTCTTCCTTTGAAAGTAAATAATATATCAAAGATGTAAATAAAAGTCAATGAAAATAGTCTAATTTGGTCATTGAAATCTTTCTTGAAATATGTGTCAGTTAATTATAAAGTTGTTAATGAAATACATAACTTGTTTATATGTGAGAAAAAAAGATATACCTACTGTGCTACATTGTACATACTTACTCATAAAGAAAAAGGTGGGGAGGGGTAGTAATGAAATGAAATTATTTAAATTTTCTGGGTATTTTTATTTTTAAAGCTAAATAATTAAAATGTAACTTATTTCCATTTCTGTTAATGCATATGTATAAGATGAAGATCTTTGTCTATTTAATATTATATAACAAACATGGCAGTTTATATGAATAAATGTAACATCACGTCGCAAACGTGAAAGGTGAATCAATCTAATATCGCACGCTTACCATAGGGCTAACAAAAAATTCCAGGGAAAACACTTGTTTCCATCAACATGCTCAATAGAGTTGTTAATATAATAAAACCGTGTGGATTTTTAACAATGCTTTTTACTCTTTTATAAAGATTGATAATTTATTTCTGTAAAATAATATATAATTTCAGAGTATTATACGAGTTTGTTTCCATGAGAGAAGATTACAATACATGGAAAAAGAGCAAATGGAATCTTGGAAACAGGCACGACCAGGGGAGAGAATTCTTGAGCTTGGTATGAAATAATAGTCATGAATATATATATTTTAATTTTCATCCATGGAATTCCCTGCACAATGCATTGAGTTTAACTATATATATAGCTAGAAGTTATTACCCTAAAATGGTGAATTTTGACCAATTTTGATATTTTAACCTTTCATCACGAAAATATATCAGATAGACAGGATAAATCGAAATTGTAGACACAAAGAAAAATCAACAAATCGAGTTTAATAAAAATGTTCAAAACATGATTGAAATAAACCAATTAAGACCTTGTAGAAGTAATTACCCTTAAAGTATATGTAATTCACATTCTATAGAAGTAATTACCCTTAAAGTATATGTAATTCACATTCTGTAGAAGTAATTACCCTTAAAGTATATGTAATTCACATTCTATAGAAGTAATTACCCTTAAAGTATATGTAATTCATATTCATTGCTTATCAACTTTTTGTTTACTGAATACTTAAAGAGGGGTATTAGTCCAACATGTATTTTCTGGTGTGTCACGAATCAGTTAAAAGTTTGGGTTACAGTAGTTTACTATGAAGTTGTGGTCACTTAGTACACATGTTCACTATTATGTGAACTTTTTAAAATGTTTGCCAAATTAGATTTTGACCCTGATTTTGTGATTCACTTAAATTTGAAATGAATAGTGTGAACTGGGCATTGTGTCCTTTGAACAAATATTCTTGTTAAGTAAATAAGTCATGTGATCCTTTACCAAAGAAGAAATAAATTATTGGTCTTCATTTCTCTTTACCAAAATAAAAAAAAACTGTTTATTTGAAAAATAATCTTACGGAAATTGTTAGCCAAATAGATGACACATCAGAACTGCATGTTTTCATCAGGTGAATTATTCAGAATTTCAGGTATGTCTAGTTATTTAAAAAAATTTAAAGGGTTCCATGGAACCCTCTGTCTCGTCTGTGATTGCTGCTGCCAATGTAAAAGCGAAATGTTGACTGTTAAAATCTTTTTCTTTAGATACTTTTTCTTGTTCTTGAATATTAGCTTCTGTCTAAGTTTCATAACAATTAATGAAGTTTTAGAAATTTGTCTATAAAATAAATTAATCCCAGACTGTCTATAAATGTTAACAGTAAAAAACTAGGTCCATCTATCAGAAAAATAATGAAAGAAAAAAAAATATTTTCAAAATTTTCTTCAGACATAATCTCTTAATTGACAAAATTTTCCCTTGGCAATTTTTCTTTTAATCTGCCCAAGTTTCATAAAATTCTATGAAGGTTTGACAAAGTAATTGATGTGTAACAAACTTTAACCCCAGACTGTATCTACTTGTAAACTGTAAAACAAAACTAAGTCCATCTATCAATATGATATGAAAAAATGAAAATATTTTTATGCCCCCGTCGTATCGGAGGGGGCATTAAGTTTTACCCTTGTCCGTCCGTACGTCCCAAAATTGGTTTTCGTTCTCTAACTTGAGTTTGCTTCAACCAAATGTTATGAAACTTATACACAATGCTTATTACAACAAAACACAGATCAAGATTGAATTTTGGTGGCATCACTTGAACCGTTCTAGAGTTATGCCCCTTTATAAATGGAAAAATTGCAAAATTTTTAGTTTCTGTTCTGTAACTTAAGTTTGCCTCAACCAAATGTTATGAAACTTATACACAATGCTTACTACAAAACACAGATCATGTTTAAATTTTGGTGGCGTCAGTTTAACCGTTCTAGAGTTATGCCCCTTTATAAATGGAAAAATGGAAAAAATTTTAGGTTCCGTTCTCTAACTTAAGTTTGCCTCAAACAAATATTATGAAACTTATACACAATGCTTATTACCACAAAACACAGATCAAGTTTGAATTTTGAAAAACTTTTAACCACAGACTGCACATAAATGTTGATGACACCATCTCATAATCTTGGATCACATTGTCTTGCTTTTCCGACATAAATGTTGCAGGGTCTACAAAAAGGTAGGTAAAATTGTTTGGTAGTTTAGTTGAAGAAATACAGTAAAAATATCTTGACCAAAATATTAGATCATAAATTAAAAAATAATCCAAAATACAGAAAGAATAATGATTTTATTGAATGAATATGGGAATAAATGAACTTTTAAAAAAAATAATTGAAATGTATATAGATGATACTCTTTCAGGTCCATGAAATTGATTTCATCAGTTTAACAAAAATATGATTTAGAAAAATTTGAGGGAAATGTAAATAAAACAGCAACCAAATATCAAATGTGAGTTCTCAACATTGTTAAGTAAAATTCTGTCCCCGATACTATTATAAAACTGATAAGTGCCTCATTATAGTGATTGAGCTGAAGAACCTATAATAATTTTCAAGTTATATTTTGCATTAACAGTGAATTGAAACAAATGGCCTGATTTATGTAAAAAACAATAGATGAAAAACAAATATGATTTACAGCAACAAATAACTACCACTGAAATACAGGCTCCTGACTTGTGACAGATACATACTGAATACGTCTTGGTTAAACATATGGGCGAGCTCCAAACCCTCCCCTAACCTGGGAGAGTGGAGTAACAGCACAACATATAAACAAACTATAAAAATCATTTGAAAAAAGGCTTGAATCAGCAGATCATTTAAAAGCGCACAGAAAACAAATAGCAAATAGGATTTCGACACAAAGTACCGATCTGAGAGCACTTGCAGTTACTGAAAGCTAGTATAAAGCCAAGAACAACTAATAGAAAAATTAAAAACCAATTGTTCAAAGAACAATTGGTCTTTCCACATCAATTTTCTAAATAATTGATAGGAAGCTACTTCTTGTTTACTCAAAGTTATTAATAGCGTCAAAGTATAGGTTTCTTCATACTGATTCAATTAATATGTGGTTTGTATATACTTATGCCTGTAATAAGGCAGATAATATGCTACTTCCGGTTTATAAAATGTCACTTCCGGTTTCAAATGATAGGTTAATGTATGATCATTCAAAAAATATATTGTTTCTAGGAACGTTTCCATGAAATAAGTGCAAAAAATACTACTTCCGGTTCACTCAAGGTCACTTCCGGTTGACTTTTTTCAAGGTCATATGTCAACCAACAGTTTGCAAAAGACCCTATGGCTTTATCATGTACCAAGTTGGAGTAATAATCAATTAACCTTAAATTGAATCATTTCAGGGACAATAACTCCTATTAGATGTCTTTGGATTGTTTCAGACCAAATGTATCATATCTTAATCACAATTAGGCAAACATTCTGCACTAGTTCTTTTATATATATCTTTAAAAGTGACAGAGGAGATCAAATAACAAGGAAAAGTCAAAATTTAGAATATGACCTTGACCTTTGACCTTGTCCTCAATTTCATTTAAATGAACCAAGGAACTCGAATCAATATACCTTAGGTTTCTATCACTTACCATTCATGCTATACATTTATATATCCCTTATGTCAAATACAGAAGGGGAAATAACTCTCATATGGAATTTATGTATCGCTTCGGTCAAATTGGACAAAACATCCTGAGGATATAACGAGCAATTTGGTAAAATAAATTTGTCGCTTTCTTTTACGGTTACGGAGGAGATGCACTCACAAGGAAAACAGTGGGAGATAATTCCTACAAAGAAAAGTATTTGGTTAAGCAGGGTCAATTTCAAAGGTGCATAAACTGTTCGATATCATATACGAAACATCTAAGCGACATCTTGCGAAACAAAATTTATATGCAAGAAATAAAAGTGGCGGAAGAAGAAAAAAAAAAATTAAATTAAAAACCAATTGTTCAGAGAACAATTGAAGGTCTTTCCACATCAATTTTCTAAATAATTGACAAGAAACTACTTCCAGTTTACTCAAAGTTACTTTTGGCATCAAATCATAGGTTTCTGTATACTGATTCAATAAATAAATGGTTTATATATACTTTTGCCTGAAATAATGGAGATAATTGCCAACTTCCGGTTTAGAGAATGTCACTTCCGGTCTCAAATGATAGCTTTATTTACACTGATTCCAAAAATATATGGTTTATATATACTTTTGCCTGTAAAAAGGGAGATAATTGGCTACTTCCGGTTAAAAAATAATCACTTCCTGTCTCAAATGATAGCCTTATTCACACTGATTCCAAAAATTTATAGTTTATATATACTTATGCCTGTAATAAGGGAGATAATATGCTACTTCAGGTTAATAAAATGTCACTTCCTGTCTCAAATGATAGGTTAATGTATGCCTATTAAAAAAATATTTGGTTATTAAGTACTTTTCCATGAAATAAGTGCAAAAATGGCTACTTACAGTTTACTCAAGGTCACTTTCGGTTGACATTTTTCAAGGTCATATGTCACCCAACACTTTTCAAAAGACGTCATAGATAGACATGATCTTGTGCAATGACAAAACATAAGTATTGACAAAATGTAGGACCCTAAATGTTCATAGCATTTTTTATTGATAACAAAATCAATATTTGTACTGGCAAAAAAAGTATTGAAAGATTTTATTACAATGTTAAATTGATAACCATTTAGAATAAGTTTATTTAAAGGATAGATGAGTTTACACAGACCGAATCTTAATTCTGTAGGCTCTATAAAAAATTTCACCGTATGAGTATGTAACTTGGATGCATATTTAGTATGGACTATCTTAGGCCCGGGAACACAGTTATTTCGTAGTGCATTTCTTTTAGACAATAAATGAAAAAATTTTAAATCGCACCTGCGCTTTCTCAATAATATTTTTACAGTGTGGTATACTACTTTTAGGAAAAATTATATCAAAGTTATAGAAAACTTCATCAGCTCTAACTCAAAATATGGACAACTTTATGTTAAGGGGGTCTTTTGACAGCTTCAGACATACTAATTTTTAACCTTTTTCAACTGGACCAAATTACTACTTTACTTTAAAATTCATGACCCAAATGTTTTTTATGCCCCACCTACAAAATTGAGGGGCATTATGTTTTTCAGTCTGTGCCTTGTTTGTTCGTTTCGTTCGTTTGTCCGTTCGTTCGTTCGTCCATCTGTCTCGATTCAGGTTAAAGTTTATGGTCAAGGTAGTTTTTGATGAAGTTGAAGTCCAATCAACTTGAAACTCAGTACACATGTTCCCTATGATATGATCTTTCTAATTTTAGAGTTTTGACCCTAATTTCACAGTCCACTGAACATAGAAAATGATAGTGGGAGTGGGGCATCCGTGTACTATGGACACATTCTTGTTTACAGTGTAATTTAATCCCCTTACTTGCTATTTGATGCATAAGACATGAAGAAATAAATTTCGAAGGGGTATGAAAAAAATTAAAAGTAACACACTGTTGACACTAGGGATTATATTTGTAGACAACAAAAATGGAAGGACAATAACTGATTTACAAATATGGTCAAACTGTATGGGAAAGTGAAAATTATGAATATATATAATTGAAATAATCTTCTCATGACATTAGACAATAGATGTGATAGTTGAATACAATTTAGATTATTCATTAATTTGAATGTTAAGATTACAAGATTTTAGGTAATTTATCAGTATTAATCAATTTGTTACATGTTCCATCTGACCATCTATGTATGTATCCATAATTGGTGTAGATATTATGTGTATGGTCCAAATACATAGAAGATCTAGAACATTCATGTATTTTGGTGTTTATTATACGAATTTTCTGTCTTTATTTTCAGACATTCCACTATCATATGGCATAATTCATTACAAAAAAGACACACCTAGTCTAAATACAATAGACTTTATCTGGGATCCTACCAAAGAATGTGGTATATATATAAAAGTACATTGTATAAGTACAGAATTTACTCAGAAGAAACATGGTGGAGAAAAGGGTGTGCCATTCAGGATACAAGTAGAAACACATACATATGGTGATGAAGATTCAAAGTTGTTACATTGTGCCTCATGCCAAGTTAAAGTGTTTAAGGTATATGGAAAAGATAAATTAGTGACTTTAATGACATCTAAGTAAATTTGGTATGTCTAAAATAAAAAGCAACTTTAACTGTGAACTGTGGACTTACATTTGAGAAATTAATATTACCGGGTAGTTAATATTGTTATTTTCATTTAAGTTTGAAGTCTCAGTTGGGTAATCATTCTTTTATGTGAACCATGTAAAATTGATGGATTATCTCCAGACCCAACAAATGTATTAAAAATGTATCAAAAATGTATCAGAGTCAACACCAGAAGACAAAACTATTAAATCTATTGTTACCAAAAACATGACATATCAGTGGATAGTATATTAAAATGCCTTTGTCCATCCATTTATTTATAATTCAGTCTGACCGTCCATCCATCCATTTGTTTACCATTCAGTCTGACAATCTATCCATCCATTTGTTTATCATTCAGTCTGACCATCTGTCCATCCATTGGTTTTTCATTCAGTCCGACCATTCGTCCATCCATTTGTTTTTCATTCAGTCCGACCATCTGCCTATCCATTACTTTTGTAACATATTACTCTGATTGGTCTTGAGCTTTATGATGTAATCGATTTTTAGATCTGCCAGGCAGTCACCACTCTAAGATAAATCTCAACCACTTGAAATGAAAAAATATAGGAATGTATGGAAGGGGAAATCAATTACTGTAAATTCAGAAATTATTGCGTGCATTTATTATTGCGATTTTGTCATTTTAGACTAAAATGCGATTTTAATTTTTGCGATATTGAGAAAAATCCTCTTTAATTCATATAAAAAAAATTCACAAAATGCGAGTTTAAATTATTGCGATTATACCTCTGTCGCATTTTTCGCAATAATAAAAACATCGCAATAATTTCTGAATTTACAGTAGATAAAGTATCATTCTTTTCAATTTGGAAAGAGTATGGGAGACTTGACAGCCTGTCCTGAGCTAAAAAAAAAATTAATTATTTTATGTTGACTATGATTTTTTTTTTAAACGATTAGTTTCATATCTTTGTAGCCCAAAGGAGCAGACAGAAAACATAAAACAGACAGAGAAAAGATCGATAAATTAAATGAAACAGATAAGGTATGTTGCAGTCAAAATCAGTCCATTTGATCAGTATCTGTATATTAAATTAACTGTTTAAGAATGTTCATATTTTTATTATTACCATTATTATTTCGTTGGATGTGTATATGAATGTGCATTTTTGGTATAACTGTTGATACATCACTGGTCAAACTTCCTTAAAATTTGAATGAAGGTATAATCTAATCAGAATTGTAGAGTTGGATTATTAGAAAATCTGAATTGAGTACCAGTTTTGATTGGGAATTAGTATACAATTTTTTGGAGAGCTTGTTAATATGTAACATAATAAATGATATCACCTATGTAACATCCTTATTTCTTTTTGAATCCTTTTCGAATTGAATAATGCTTTACTCTGCTCTTGAATCAGTTTAATTATGACATTATGCAATATTGTGGAACTTTATGTGAAAAGAGGGAACTTTTTTATTTTCAGATATTGCATTCCGATCTGAAATACTCTTGATAAAACTTTCATTTCTTGTCATAAACCTTTCAAATCTGAGTACAGTCTGTTTGGAAAAGGGGGGATCACTGTGGTTCTTAATCATTGAGAAATTTTATGTTAGATATAACTTGATAATCTAGGAAAAGCCTCTAGCTGCATTATCTAGAGTTACTGTGTGATTTGGGAAATGGGAATTATGATTTGAAAACAGTAAAAGTTTTGAACTACAAAGTTGTGCAGAACTCCAAATAGAAAACATTGTCATTAAGGCTCCAAGAAGGCTCTATATACTGTAAAATCAATTATTGTCAATAATGAGACTGGATGAGTATCGCAATAATAAGAACTCACATTCTGATATCTGATACATATATCTGTATGTAGAATTTCCGGAAATCGCAATAATTAAACTCGCATTATTGTCCTTTCTTAAAAAATCACAATAATAAATGCACGCAATAATTTCTGAATTTACATTATTTAAAAATATTTTATTTAAAAACTATTTTGTTCTTTTATTTAACTTAGTTACTGTGAAAGTACTTTTATTCGTGGGGTACCAATTTTCGTGGTTTTCGTGGATGGCTTTAATCCACAAATTTTATCGTCCAACAAAATATAAGAACTGTTGTCCAAATCAGGACATGGAAAGATCCCCATTACCGTAGGTTAGACTACATAGAATATCAGCAAATGCACTATTAACAAAAGATGCAACTTCTGACATGATTCTGTCCATTTAATCTTTAAAATACCTAAACTGTACGACTTTTAACCTTTTTATTCTCACGAAATAGTTTTGATCAATAAAAGTCAGACTTCCGGTGATGATATGCGATGATGAAGTGTTCATTTTATATCCTCATAATTCTCATACGAAAAATAAATAATTTCATTAAGGGTTTGCTATTTTATGATGCTACAATTCAAAGTACATTTGTCTCTTTTTTATGTAACTGTTTTCTTTAAGTGACATGTTAATTGCCCAATTAACCCCTTTGGTAACCTTTAATCTGGTGATCAAACAATCTCGGGTTAATTAGTGTCATCACTTCTGATTACACATGTGCAACAATTAAAATGTTTACTTTGCAATTTCCTTCAATCTAGAACATTTGTAAGAATAGATGAATCGGCTTATTTCAGAAAGCAATTATCTTATTAAAAGTTTGATCAATGTTGTCAGTAATGAAAGACGAACAAGTAGGTGAAAATGAACACCTTATTTTGCAATGTCCCAGAAATTATTATAAAACAACATATGATTATTTTCAAAAGTTTTCGTTTCAGATGGCTTCACATTCTTCACCCATTTTAAAATCCACCAATTTAAGAACCCACGAACATGCAACTTTTGTTCAAAACTACAAAAATTGATACCCACGAATAAAAGTACTTTGACAGTATTCAGATGACAATGATGAATTGTTCTATGGTTTATTGTTAAACAGGTGACAGTCAGATTTATTGTCTATTTGTATTTAGCATGTAGGAAAATCATAATCCATCAGAAACAGATACTATTTGTTAATAAAATTGAGAATGGAAACAGGGAATGTGTCAAAGAGACAACAACCCAACCAAAGAGCAGAAAACAGCCCAAGGCCACCAATGGGTCTTCAAGGCAGCGAGAAATCCCGCACACGGAGGCAGGCTTCAGATGGCCCCTAAACAATAATGTGTACTAGTTTAGAGAAATGGACGTCACACTACACTCTGAGACATATAGATAATCCCAAATTAAAAAAACATACAAGACTAACAAAGGCCAGAGGTTCCTGACTTGGGACAGGCGCAAAAATGCGGCTGGGTTAAACATGTTTTGTGAGATCTCAAACCTCCCCCATACCTCTAGCCAATGTAGAATAAACAAACACATAGCAATACGTACAGTAAAACTCAGTTTAAAAGAAGTCTGAGTCCGATGTTAGAATAGGTAACCGAAGAAACTAAGCAAAATGACAATGATAACATAAATTAACAAAGGACTACTAGCAGTTACTGACATGACATGACATGTTAAGTATTCTTTACATTTCCTTTTTTTACAGGATAAATATCAGCCTTCCTATGAATGTACAGTATTAACTCAGGTATGTTAGTTTTTCACATTGTGATTTATTAACACAATGGTTGTATCATAATGTCTGTTCTCTGTCCTGTATTTTACTTAATATTTCCAAGATGTTATGTCATTATGAATCTGGATTTCTTTGATGATATTTAAATCTTACTCTGAACATTTGCTTCTGTCATATTAATAAAATTATTAATTTGTGTTAAATGGATTTGGAGATGGAAAAATAGAATATCTATGTTTGAACATAGGAATGTCCCTAAAAAACAACCTTACAAGTAAATTTTGGGAGCCAGAGATCAATAAATTGAATTGAAATCTAATCAATAAACTTGAACATAAAGATTATGACTCTGCCAATCTTTCCACTGGTTAAAAGAGTATTGTACAGTTTTCAAATTTTTCCATTTTAACTTTCCAAAACTGTAGAAAGAACTTTTATCCCATCATTTACTATGCTTTCAGTAAAGTTATCATCTGTCAGTCCGGCAAATCAGTTTTCCACTTTTTTTCTTTGTGTTTGAAGATATTGATTTGATATTTGGTATGTAGTTTTATCATGACCAGTTACAGATCAAATTTGATTTTTGTTCCAGTCTGATTATATTGTGCAGAGTTATGTTCCTTGGACTTAGAAAATTTACTCAAGTAATCAGTTTTCCGCACTTTTATTTTGGTCATGCTTGAAGATATTGATTTGATATTTGGTATATAGTTTATCCATGACAAGTTACAGATCAGGTTTGAATTTTGTTCCGGTCTGATAATTTTGTGCAGAGTTATGGTCCTTGGTCTTAGAAAATTCACGTAAGTAATCAGTTTTCACACTTTTTTTCGTCATGCTTGAAGATATTGATTTGATATTTGTTATATAGTTTTACCATGACAATTTACAGATCAAATTGGAATTTTTTCTGGTCTGATGATTATTTTGCACAGAGTTATGGTCCTTGGACATAAAAAATATGCGCAAATAATCAGTTTTCCACACTTTTTTTGTCATGCTTGAAGATATTGATTTGATATTTGTTATATAGTTTACACCATTTCAAGTTATAGATCAAGTTAGCATTTTGTTCCAGTACAATGAATTTTTAACCAGTAGGGGACCAAGTATTGCCATGCAATACTCTCAGAATGCTTGTTTGTATTACAGATAAATGTAGACCAGATGGTATCCACAGTACAACAGCCTGGACCTTCCCCGTCAGTAAAGTCATCTTTTTCATTACAGATAAATGTAGACCAGCATCCACAGTATTACAATCCTGACCTTTCCTGTCAGTAAAGTTATCTTTTTTTTTATTACAGATAAATGTAGACCAGATGGCATCCATGGTATTACAACTTGGACCTTCCCCGTCAGTAAAGTTATCTTTTTTAATACAGATAAAAATGTAGACCAGATGGCATCCACAGTACAACAGCCTGGACCTTTCCCATCAGTAAAGTTATCTTTTTTATTACAGATAAATGTAGACCAGATGGCATCCACAATACTACAGCCTGGACCTTCCCCACCAAATAATAGTGCTGTGTTTGCTGAACCAAGTTTTAGTGGAAAAAATGGTTCTTTTGCCAGCTTGAGTGAAAGTTTTGCCCAAATCAATACAAATTCACCGTAAGGTTCTTGATATAAATGAATTATTAATGTAAAATGCAAATTTATTGCTTAAAAAAAGATTTAAAACAAAGACAAGCATAAGAAACATTCTTTGATGATTGCTTAAAATTTTAATTTTATTCGGCCTGTTAAATCTCAGTTCTTCTTCGAGGTGTAATACCACCATTGATTTTCCCCCATTAGTCTTTGTTAAATTTGCACTTTTCAAAAAATTGTGCAGAATTTATCTTTGTTTCAAATAAAGAAATACTTGGCATGAGTAAAGTTTTATCCTGTCCAGAACTATAGACAAAATTTCACATAACATTTCATTGCATATAAGAAAATAACCATCACTGGAAGTTAACCAATTAAATTTTCACCCCTTTTTTTCCCTGTGTCCAAGCTTTAATAACCATGTAACCTCAAGTTTCCAAAATATTCTATAGAAACACCAAATAAAAAAATAAGAGTGCTTGGAAACACCCAAGATATATGTTTATGACTCAGAAATTTTTTACTGCAATGAAATGTAGGATTAATTTCCTACAACTGTCAAATTCAAGGGAATATTTTTTTTCGAACCTTTTTCGTATGCAACCAGATGTGACATACTATGATTTGGTGGTATTACACCTAGAGTGAAATTTGTAGAAAAGAAAGTTTTATTTCTGCTACTATTCATCTTAAATGTAATGGTGATATTTCATTGATGTATGAAATGATACTTTTAACTGATATTGTTAAATTGCTGTCTTATTCATCTCATTGGTTTTTGTGGTCATGTCCATATATCAAATACTATAAGCAATAGGTCAACTATTTGTTGTACGAAATGGCTGTAAGGTTTTCCTGTTTTTCTATCAGGTTCATTTTCATGGATAATAGATAATGTGATACCTGTAGTAAATCTTTAATCTTACATAAAACTCATTCATGATTAGTAAAGTAGTTGTGACATTTTACTGTGTGCATACTTGTTGATATACTGTATACTGTATACTGTGCATGAAAGGTTTCAAACCTGGTAGGAATGTTTGTCATATGTAGTTGACCATTCTAAGACATCATGTTGATTTGACAATTTGTCAGGAGGATTTTTAGTCGTCATGTGTAGTTTACCATACTATACAGCCAGTTTATTTGATGATTTTTTCTGCAGTTATGAGAATATTGTGTTAAAGACTATAATTGCACTCAAACACCTTACAATTAACAAAGAGATGGGTGGTGTTTTTTTTATGATTTTACTATTTAAATATCATGGGACTATTTTACTATAACAACTAACTTTCTGGTAAAGTTTACAATTCAATCAGGGTTCTATTCTTTGTCAATGTTTCAAGTGAATTCAACCATGCCTTTTTTTTTTATCTTCAGGTTAAAATTGTGTTTTCTAGATATAAATTTCAATCAAGATCTGAAGGATTTTATAGTAGCTGGTTTAAATATTACTTCAATTGTTCCAAGTCTGCTGTAGAACAAAACTTATTGGTTAAGACCTCTGTAACTTTGCTTGAGCAGGAATGTAGAATAGCTGAACTTTCAGGTTAATGATGTGTTAAAACATGCATAAAAGAATAGAGAAACACTTATATTTGTTATTGTTTCCAATAAAAGAACTCAACCATAAATTAATATATGTATTGTAAGTTACACTAAATATCATTATAACTTATTTTTGTAGCACGCCAACAATATCAGCAGTCTCATCACCATTTAGATGTAATAGTGAAGAAGACAGTGAACCGAAGGTTAAAAGTCCAGAGATAAAAACATCAAAGGATAAATTAATATTAGATGGGGTTAGTTTTGTATACTTCGTGAAAGAAATTTATTTACATGTCTTTATCATATGAAGCCTTTTTCATGATGAGAAGTATGGAGGGGGAGTGCATACCTTTTTTCTGTAATCAACTCCACCTACAGTTTTCAACCCATTGATAGACATATTTGAAACTTAATTAAAAATTTTTACACTCATTAAAGTTGTTCACATGCACTTATGGAATTGTTAAAGGAATTTTTCTCATTTTTCTAATTTAATTGGAAACTTATAGGTAAAGAGAGGTAGGGTATGATCACCAAAGACAACTATCCACCAGAAACCCAAAGACTTGGACTTGTATAGTCTTCAACAATGAACAAAATCCATATTGTAAAATAAACTATAAAAGGCCCTGACATGACAAAATGTAACACAATTTCAATTATAAAACCAATGTCCTGATTTTTTATGAAACAATGATTAATAAACAAATATGACAGACAGCAACCAAAGTCAACAACTGGATTAAAGGCTCCTGACTTTTGGACAGACAAATACAACCAACATCAACAACTGAATTAAAGGCTCCTGACTTTTTGACAGACAAATACAATTGTGGCCAAGTTAAACATGATTATGAGTGCTCTAACCTCCCCCTGGGATAGTGGTGTAACAGCACAACATACATTATGTAAGAATAAACTGTCAAAAATTAGTTGGAAAGGGTTTGGTTCATCAGATCAGATTAATCGCAAAAAAACAACTAAGAAAAAGACAAAAGACGCCAAGTATCATCTAAAAATACTCAATGTTACTGAAAGCTCTAGTTCTAAAGACGCCAAGTATCATCTAAAAATACTCAATGTTACTGAAAGCTCTAGTTCTAAAGCCAATTCTATAAAAGTAATTAAAAAATCATGTTTTACCTTTAATCAGTTTTCAGTAAAATTTACAGAAGAGGATATTAATTTGTGTAATCAGCTCCACCTTTAGTTTTCAAACCAGATCCTGAAATCTTCACAGAAATATTGCACACATGTTGAAGATTATTAAATCGGTTGAGGGATTTATTTATCATTTTTCAACACGGCCAGTTTTACATTTTTTTAGCAAATTTTCAAAAGACAGTACAAACTTTGTGTAATCAACTTCTACTGCAGTTTTCAACCGATTTCCTTGAATCTTCACAGAAATTTTTCAACTTCTTTAATATGTTCCACTTAAAAATATCATTCCTAAGTCAGAAACTTTTTCTATCAATTTCAAGTTCATAAAATGATTACAGTACATGAACTAGAGATCATAGCCAGAGTTAATATTTACTTATTTGAAATTTGTGGAACAGGCTTGTATAAATGCAGTTATTTATCAAAATAGTAAATATTATATATATATATAGATAACTCACAGCATGGGAAGAGAGAAAACATTTGGCTGTCACTAATATTTATCTATTTACACTTGTTTTCCCTCTCGGTTTTTGTCGAGCCTTCGACTTTTGTCGAAAAAGCGAGACATAGCAATCGTACATTCCGTCGTCGGCAGCGTCCACAAATATTCACTCTGTGGTTAAAGTTTTAAAAATTTTAACAACTTTCTTAAACTATCCTGGATTTGTACCAAACTTGGACAGAAGCTTGTTTATGATTAAAAGCTAGTATCTAGAAGGAAATTTTGTTAAAATTTTATTCCATTTTTTCTGTATTTTACTTATAAATGGACTTAGTTTTTCTTCCAGTTAACATTATAACATACAGTCTGCAGTTTAGTTTTTAAAACATTTATTAGATTCATAAACTATCCTGGATTTTTACCAAACTTGGACAGAAGCTACTTACAATCAAAAGATAGTATAGAGAGGAATATTTTTATTAATTTTTTTCCTCTTTTTTGTTGAGCCTGCGATTAACAGCAAAAGTAGGCGAGACACTGGGTTCCGCAGAACCCTTACGAATTCTTTTTAAAGAACTCATTGTTTGTACAATTTGTTCTATGTAGAAGGTGATGACATGAATTAAAATAGTGATTTTTAGAATGAGTATGATATGAATATACAGTTATCAATCATTGTGAAATCTGCAGCCTTGTCAATCAACTGGTCCCGTAAAAATAAATATATCTTACAACATCATATTATTATTTAAGATTTTACATTTACTATAGGTACCACTGCCATCAGATGCCATAGCAGATACTGTATCAGCATGGTTACAAGCCAATAGATTTACCAGTCATGTTAGAGTTTTCCAAAATTTCTCAGGTGTGTATAATAATATATATACTAGCCTTACTTCACTTTCTTAGTAAGAATAAATATATTTAATTAATGGTCTAGAAGTGATATTTGCCAGCCACATCCTAAATTTGAACTAGATAATTCTCATTTTTGTCGAGCCTGCGACTTTTGTCGCAGAAAGCTCAACATAGGGATAGTGATCCGGCGGCAGTGGCGGCGTTAGCTAACTTCTTAAAAGCTTTATATTTTAGAAGGTGGAAGGCCTGGATGCTTCATACTTTGTATATGGATGCCTCATGTTACGAAGTTTCCGTCAGTCTCATGTCCAATGTCCTTGACCTCATTTTCATGGTTCAGTGACTACTTGAAAAAAAAGTTAAGATTTTTTGTAATGTTAGATTCTCTCTTATTATAAGTAATAGGATAACTATATTTGGTATGTGCGTACCTTGCAAGGTCCTCATGCCCGTCAGACAGTTTTCACTTGACCTCGACCTCATTTCATGGATCAGTGAACAAGGTTAAGTTTTGGTGGTCAAGTCCATATCTCAGATACTATAAGCAATAGGTCTAGTATATTCGGTGTATGGAAGGACTGTAAGGTGTACATGTCCAACTGGCAGGTGTCATCTGACCTTGACCTCATTTTCATGGTTCAGTGGTTATAGTTAAGTTTTTGTGTTTTGGTCTGTTTTTCTTATACTGTATGCCATAGGTCTACTATATTTGGTGTATGGAATGATTGTAAGGTGTACATGTCTAGCGGGCAGGTGTCATCTGACCTTGACCTCATTTTCATGGTTCAGTGGTCAAAGTTAAGTTTTTTGAGTTTTGGTCTGTTTTTCTAATACTATATGCAATAGTTCAACTATATTTGGTGTATGGAAATATTTTATGATCTATTTGGCAGTCACACAGGTTTTATTTGACCTTGACCTCATTTTCAAGGTTCATTGCTCAGTGTTAAGTTTTTGTGTTTTGGTCTGTTTTTCTTAAACTATAAGCAATAGGTCAACTATATTTGTTGTATGGAAGAATTGTTAGCTGTACATGCCTGCCTAGCATGGTTCATCTGACCTTGACCTCATTTTCATGGTTCATTGGTCAATGTTTAGTTTACTTGGTTAATGTTAAGTTTATGTGACAGTTGTAATAAAGCTTTATATTTAGGACTATCAACATAATATCAATGATTAGTAAAGAAGGCGAGACATTTCAGCGTGTGCACTCTTGTTGACAAAGTTAGAGTGAATGAATGCTGTTCACATCTTACTACAAATTAAAGATAGTCCATAGAACTGGTTTGAGTAAGAATCAGTGCTTAATCTGTACAATAATAAAAAAAGATGTGGGATACCTCACCCAACAAGTGAAAGGTGGTACCAAGAAAAGAATTCTACAAATGCTATCACAATTTGCACAACAATCCAATTTTTTTAAAACAAAAACAATGGAAAAATTTTTGCAACAAGTGTCACATCAAAATATTTATGTAATGATTTGGCAGGAAATAATGTATGAATAGTGAAAATAATGCACAGGTTTTTAGATAAACAGACAGACAGCATTGAAGTGAAGTAGTACACAATAAAAATGTCATAACAATTTACCATAGAAGTAACCAGTCTTCAAACATATTTCTTCAATGACTCAACACATTCTAACTACGCTTAATTCATATAAAAAAGAAGATGTGGTATGATTGCCAATGAGACAACTCTTCACAAGAGACCAAATGACACAGAAATTAACAACTATAGGTCACCGTAGGGCCTTCAACAATGAGCAAAGCCCATACCACATAGTCAGCTATAAAAGGCCCCGAAATGATAAATGTAAAACAATTAATGTACAAAAAAATGAACGAAAATCAAATATGTAACACAGCAACAAACGACAACCACTGAATTACAGGCTCCTGACTTGGGACAGGCACATACATACAGAATGTGGCGGGGTTAAACATGTTAGCAGGATCCCAACCCTCTCCTAACCTGGGACAGTGGTGTAACAGTACAACATAAGAACGAACTATATAAATCAGTTGAAAAAGGCTTAACTCATCAGAAGGATACAAATAGAAATACATTGTGTTGTATTTTATACTAACCAGCTTTCATTTATCTTAAAGGTCCAGATATATTGAGGTTGACAAGAGATGATCTGATACAGATTTGTGGTATAGCAGATGGTATACGACTCAATAATGCATTACAATCCAAGTAAGTTATTATAATCTGTCAAGCTTACCTCATCACTTCAGACTGGTAAACATTACCTTACACTGTTATGGATGCTGCACACATTGAATTCTTCAAACGAAACGTAGGTCAATAACTTATATTGTTCTGGCCTCAGTAATATGTAGTTTTTTGGGTAAAGATTGCATGAAATGCAATCTAAACCCTATGGTACTGACCATATCTAAATCTTCCAAGGTTTATCACTACTTCTTAGATACACAAAATATAGTGCATTGATCATAACATTCTAAACATCCTAGCCATGAACATTTCCAGAAATTTATCAATGAAATATATGCTCAGATATCAAGTTACAAAATGATGTTATACTTGTCAAGAAAATTACATAACCTGTGCAAGGTGCAGAAATCTAATATTTGTTCTAAAAATATCAATGATGTCATTGTTAAAGTAATCTTTAAAATTGGAGTTATCTTCCTTTGTCCATAATTGTAGTTGAATCAATGCTTTGTACAATGCAAAGTTTAATTCTTCTGCACTTGTTTTGTCTTAATAATTTTTACAACCAAAACCATAAACTTGTCCATCTGTTTTCATGCAAATGGTCAGTTCAAATTGATTTTTTTGGTAAATAATGAACAATGTTAAAGTATTGAATATTAAAACATTGTGATTCAGTTAAACTTAGATGTACCTGTGTTCCATTGAAGAAGTTTTGGTTTCAGTACATTATTTTTAAAAACAAGCTTAGATAAAATGAAACAGAATTAACCGAATGCATGAAAATTACAAATTCTGGCTGGATATACGGAAAGGCTGGTGTCTGTTCATCTGTCTGTACATCTGTTTATTAGTTCAACATTGTAAGCGCCCTCAATTCTTCAGCTCACACTGGATTTTGATCGAATTTATGTCAAAGGGCTGATGATTATTATCGAGGGACTTGTGTGCCTTGGAAATGTTAAATGAAATGGAAAGTCTTGTTTTTTAAAAGCACTCTCATGCCTACATTTCACTTCAAAGTTAAATGATTTTTTTAAAACATGTCCAAAGGTAGCAATATATTAGTTCAAGTTTGAAAATCAGCATTGATAGAATATTTTTGGGGAAATTATGCCCCTTTGCAAGCTGAATAATTATGAAAAATCAACAGTTTAAGTGCTTGCCTGCCTATATATTTGTAAAGGTGATATAAGTGGCTAAATGACATTTTTCTTTTCTTTATTGTAGAGCTGTAAGGCCTCGTTTAACAATATTTGTATGCCAAGAAACTGATTCAGGTAATTTCAGCACAAACACAATGTTAGAATTTATCAGGTGACTCCTTAAAGGAGTTATAACTTATAAATGATGTTTAGCTTTTTTGCCTATTAACTTAAAAACTATGACAAGACAAGGACTGTATACAGCCAAAAAATATATAATATCTTAGATAATGAAATATATGCAGTTATTTATCTGTTTGAAGAAATTATCTAGCCTGATTTTGTTGATAATACTTAAAAGTTGTATGTTTGAAATTAAAAATTAAAGAAAAAAATTGTTTCTGGAAAAACTTTTTTTTTATCATGACGAGGGTGAAAGTAAATACCAAAATGACAATTTTTTGCCAGGGAAGTGATTTCTACTCTTTGGAGCCTCAGTTTTCAGTTTTCCATGTGTTCAATTGTAACATGCTTGCTTTGCTTTTTTCAGTTTACCATGCCCTGTATTTAGATACGTTTACAAGTCAAGAATTGATTGGAAAACTGGCAAAGTTGTACAGTGTATCATCACAACAGATAGCAGAATTATACTGTTCTGGTCCATCAGGGATTTATATACTTATCACAAATGAGGTATGTATTCATCTCATTCTCAGTTTATATTATTTTTCCCATGTCACATTCAAACTTGAGTATGTCCTGAATGATCTACTTCAAACTTTGCCAAATCATTAGCAATGGTCATCTGACATTATGTTTGAGGGTCTAAAGACTTTTTGACAATTTTTACTTTTGTTATACTTCAACCGTTTTCATATTTTGAGTTCAGAATCCAGGTCTTGAAATCTCTACACATTTTGATGATTTTTACCTTCATGGGAGTTTAATCTTTGAAAGTAAGCAATTTTTCAAAATGGAAATCCAATTAGTGATGTACATAGATAAAACTTAACAGAATTATAAAGAAGTTGTCTTAGGGGCTGAATACATATTAACTATATGAAAATAAGGAAATGTGGTATGATTGCCAATGAGACAACTATCCACCAAATGATGCAGATTTTAGCCAATAGGGGTCACCCTATAGCTTCAACAATGAGCAAAACTCATGCCGAATAGTCAGCTATAAATGTTTATTTTTCATTTATATCTCTTGATTAATAAAGTATGTGCTCATATTGGTGATTTCGAATCTGTTCAAAGTTTTGATTTTTCTACTGTATATACCTCATAATCTCATTGAGAAAAAAGTCAGATTGGGAATATATATGTTCAAACGTTAACTCTTTTAGGTCATTTTTTAGTAACAACAAACAAAAGAACTATGTCAATAGGACTTGCTTTGATATGATAACTGCACTTGAATTTTTACTACATAACATTTTGATCGCTATGGAGATTCCATAAATCGTCAAGTTATTGGAATTTCAATGGGGACTAACTGTGTACCACTTATTGCAGACTTGTTTCTGTATTGTTACGAGCTACAATTTATGACTAAAATCAGCAAAGACCCATCGAAACAACATCTGATACACAAATTTAAAAATACTTATAGATATTTGGATGATATATTGGTTCTCAATAATGACAATTTCAGTATGTACACTAAAGAGATTTATCCTGCTGAACTGACTTTGAATAAAGCTAATACTTACAATGAACACTGCCCTTTCCTGGATCTTGATATCTTTATCTTTAACGGGAAGCTTAATACAAAAATTTATGATAAAAGTGATGATTTTTTATTTCCTATTGTTAATTATCCATTTGTAGATGGTGACATTCCCTTGGCACCATCTTATGGTGTTTATATAACTCAACTTGTTGGATTCGCTCGTGTATGAAACGATGTATTTGATTTTAATGAAAGAAATCTCTGTATTACTGAACAAATTTTTACACCAAGGTTTTCGATATCACAAACTTGTCAAAAAGTTTACTAAATTTTATCATTGGTACAAGGATATCACTAGTAAATATAAATCAACATGCAGACATCTTATATGTTCAGGTATTTCATATCCCATCTTTTATGGTAATATTCTTTACAAAGCACAAAAATGTTGTCATTCACCTGAAAAGCTAACCAAACCTTTAAACAGACTTATTCAGATGGGATATAGTTACGATAATGTTGTCAGGTCATTAAAGATGGCATTTTTTGGAATTAATATTGATTCACTCATAGGGTCTTTGCATCGGAAATGAACACATTTATTCTAAAACCAGTTGTTGACATGATACGGGTTATGTTCTTCTCGTATATTTTATGATGGTATGATACTAAACCCCTTAACGGGAGGGATTGTGCTTCATTTACATAAGATGAAGACATAATCTTTCAATCAGTTTAATTGAGGTCTGGAGCTGGCATGTCAGTAACTGCTAGTAGTCCTTTGTTAATTTATGTTGATTATTGTCATTTTGCTTAGTTTCTTCTTTTGAACTGAGTTTTACTGTGTGTATTGCTATGTGTTTGTTTATTCCTCATCGGCTAGAGGTATAGGGGGAGGGTTGAGATCTCACAAAACATGTTTAACCCCGCCACATTTTTGCGCCTGTCCCAAGTCAGGAACCTCTGGCCTTTGTTAGTCTTGTATGTTTTTTTAATTTTAGTTCATTTATATGTTTTGGAGTTTAGTATGACATCGCTGAACTAGTTTACATTATTGTTTAGGGGCCAGCTGAAGCCTGCCTCCGTGTGTGGGATTTTCTCACTGTGTTGAAGACCCATTGGTTGCCTTCTGTTGCTGTCTCTTTGACGCATTCCCTGTTTCCATTCTCAATATTATTTCAGTCTTTTTTTGGAGGGAATAGTTTGGGGTTTGTGTATTTTGAAGACAATTTTAGGAACATGAGTAGTTGGTTTTAGAATTGATTTAGCTGTCCTTAGAACATGAAAAAATAGTAATACAAAACAAAAATAATAATTGGGAACATATATCTATTTTAGGTTGTTCAGAATTTTAAAGACCAGGCAAGATTTGTTGTTGAAGCTATGAAAGGTATTAACATTAAAAAAAAAGTGTATCTGTTTAAGAATTGCAGCATTCATCAAGACATATGTTTCTATTAATAAATTATGCAGTACAGGTGAGGAAAACCTGTGAATAGAAAATAAAGGTGGATTATATAGAAAATGTAGCCAGAAAAATATCACATGAGATGATATATTGTAACATTATATTTGATTGCTTTGAATTTGTTTTAAATATACTAGCGTAGCTGTTTGCTTTATACATGTACAAGATAGATTTTTATAATCTCATAAACAGGTCTTTGTGACTTAATGTTCCTATTTAAATTGAAAATAGAATAATCAGGTCATTATATCAATTTGTAGGTTTGATTCAGTATATAACAGATTTTAAGCTGCTTTGTTTTGTTTTTTTCAGATGAAAACTCAATGCAGTACAAAATACTACTCAAGGAAATGAGCTGAAAATGTGTTTCAAATAGTTGGTTGAAGATATAGACTTCAGACTATAAAGTCTCACTATTGCCTCTAATGTCACAACTATCACATGCTATGTGTTGGGCAGCATACTTGTATTTGTTACAGTTATATTTAGCAAGGTTTTGTTGTAATGTCTGTTATTACCTGGTATGTTACATCATAGTGAATACACTTACTGTTAACAGGTGTAATCCATTTATAATGGTGATAACAACTTGTATTTTGTTTTCTTTAAGGTCAAATGTGTATCTCTTCAGATAGAGATTTAAAACAGTTTTTATTTGAAGTAAGTTCTAGCTCGACTGATGTTTGTTTTCTGCAGTAAAGACAACAGAAAGAAGTGCTAGCTCAGGTTGAGATGTATATCTGTATTTCATTCATAAAGAAGTGCTAGTTAGGGCTGAGATGTATATTTAATACAGTTTTTCTTTGAATCAAGTTTTTGCTCTTTCCCTCTATATCATATACTTTCACTTAGCAGTATGATTTTGCCTTACTTAAATGTATATTTTGTACAGTTTTACTAAGCAGACAGCTCATGTTTAGATGTATATAATATGGTTTTCATGGCTACTAGGTCTTAATCTGGCTCTAGATCATAACTTTTGATATTAAGTTTAGAAGAGATTTGTTGTTTAACATTTTTATGCAACAAAGATTCAAAGTAGTTTGTATATTTTTACACCTGTCATTTCTTATCCCAATCTGTCTCCTTGATAAGCAATACAGTCCACTTTCATTATCTCAAAGATACTAGCGATAATTTTTTATCTCTAGTGAGAAGCATGATATGAAAAATTATTACAAAAAAGATCAAATAGCGAAAAAATAAAATTACATGTTGTTTGTCTCTTAGTTATTTCTTTGTACAGTAGCATTTTTTTCCTGTGGTTTTTAGCCGAGCAAAAAATTTCTAATTAATCTTCGCGGGATTTTAATTTTACAAAGTTATTTATTCTGGTATACCAGAGATTTGAGAAAATTTAGATTTCTTTTAATTTTCTTGTATTTGGATCTTTTTCAGCAACAGAAAATACGAAAGATTAAAGACACCATTTGATAAGTTTTGAGTTGCTCATTTTAAGCACAGCAAAGCTCATTTATGTATGATTATCGATAATTGATTATGAAAGATTTAAATAATTTTTCATAATCTATAACAATGTATCATTTATTATGGTGATCAAAGATAATCTTAGGTAAAGTCTCGTGGGAAAAGGGGAAAAGGATGTCATGAATCGATACAGTAGTCAATGATCAGAAATTTAGTTACAGGTGTACCTTCAACCCATGTAAATCCCTGAGGTCATGGTTTGACATATGTGTGTTGTATTGATTGTAGATCGAGATAAATAGTGCAATTGAAATGTTTTTGTTAACCTTGGGCCTGTAAATTTATTTGAGTCAACTGAAGTTTAGAGTCATAAGAAGTCGAAATACATTTATTTATTTCATATGGAGCAAAGTTTCGGGACCACTGGAAAATTTCAACTCATCTGAAATTTTGAGTCAACTAAGTTTGAGAGGAGAGTTAACGGTAGTTATGTTGACTATATATGCCCATGTTATTAGATAACAGGAACATCAAGTGTTTCCCTTGTTCAGCTGTGTTTTTGGTTTCAGTTTCCATTCAGTAACTTAAGTTAGCATTGCTCTGTGAATTTAGAAATTATTGCGTGCATTTATTATTGCGTTTTTTTTTTTGAAGACTGGACCAAAATGTAAGATTAATAATTGCGATTTTAGGAAAAACTGCATACAGATATCAGAATGCGAGTTCTTATTATTGCGTTACTCACCCAGTTGCATTATTCACAATAATAAAAACCTTTTCTCTGGATTTTACAGTCAATTTTATTAGGAAATGTTGTTGGGGATCATTGAGATCATGTTCAATTTAATGTACTTTTAATTTCAGGGTTGTTAAATATCTTGAGTATGATTGAGTTTAATGCAATATTAGTTACTACTGAAATTTGAGTTCCAATATGTCATTCCATAATACTTGTTATGATTATACCATAATATTTTATTTTTTCACATTTTACACAAATAATAAGGTTTGCTTAACCCCATTCATCTGATTCATTAGAAATGGGGTTAAGCAAACTTTTTTTTTCTTTCATGCCTGTAGGGCACAGATTCAGCCACCCCATTCCCCCCCCCCCCACGTAAAAAAAAGAAAAAATGTAATTTATTGGTAAAATTTCAACCATTTTTATAGGACTGCAAAAAAACTTTTGCGCCGTATAATGCTATGGTGTCGGCATCGCACGACTACACATTTGGTTTGCGGACATTAAATTTAGTTTAAGTGAATGGATCTCTAAGAAATTTTACCAGAAGGTTCAATACCACAAACGGAAGGTTGGGATTGATTTTGGGGGTTGTGGTACCAACAGTTTAGGAATAAGGGGCCAAAAAGGAGCCAACAAGAAGCTTTTTTGTAGTTTCCAGACAATAACTTGTGTGTTAGTGTATAGATCTCTCAGAATTTGTACCACAAGGTTCCATATCACAAAGGGAAGGCTGGGATTGAGTTTGGGGGTATTTGCTCCAAAGGAGGGGGTTCAAAAAGATTGGGGGGATTTTTTTTGGGGGGGGTTCATATTTTTTTCTTCAAAATTTTGGAAATTTCAAATGATTGCACAGTATTGCACAATAGCAAGAAATCTTCAATTGCACAGTATTGCTTAATAGCACAGTATTGGGCAATAGCAAGAAATCTTCAATTGCACAGTATTGCGCAATAGCAAGAAATCTTCAATTGCACAGTATTGCACAATAGTAAGAAATCTTCAATTGCACAGTAATGCGCAATAGCACAGTATTGCACAATAGTAAGAAATCTTCAATTGCACTGTATTGGGCAATAGCAAGAAATCTTCAATTGCACAGTATTGCGCAATAGCAAGAAATCTTCAATTGCACAGTATTGTGCAATAGCAAGAAATTTTCAATTGCACAGTATTGCGCAATAGCAAGAAATCTTCAATTGTACAGTATTGTGCAATAGCGAGAAATTTTCAATTATACAGTATTGTGCAATAGCAAGAAATCTTCAATTGGCCAGTATTGCGCAATAGCAAGAAATCTTCAATTGCACAGTATTGCGCAATAGCAAGAAATCTTCAATTATACAGTATTACGCAATAGCAAGAAATCCTCAATTGGCCGGTATTGCACAATAGCAAGAAATCTTCAATTGCACAGTATTGCACAATAGCAAGAAATCTTTCAAAAATTGCACAGTATTGCGCAATAGCAAGAAATCTTCAGTTGAAAATGAATACAAATCTTTTAACCAATTTCAATGGGATTAATTTAAAGTCTTTAATTTTTTGGTATTCTAACCTTGTATTACTTTTTTGAATATTGGGGCCCATTTTTAAATTTGTCTACATTGAGGTCAAAAGGGTCCAAAATTTAACTTTGTTTGATTTCATCAAAAACTGAATTATTGTGGCAGTATGAAATGCTGAATCTTATTGTGCATTTAGATTTTTTATTTTGGGCCCTGTTTTCAAATTAGTCCATATTAAGGTTTGAAGGGACTAAAATTAAACTTTGTTTGATTTCAACTAAAATTAAATTTTTGTTTTTTTTTATATGCTGAATCCAACCATGTTTGTTAGATTTTGGATATCAGACCATTCTAGGTAAATTAAATGTCCCATATCAAATTTTTAAGATCTTTGACCACATTAACTTTGTATCAGAAACCTATATTATGTCAAAAATTTGATCACAATCCAAATTCAGTCAGTATCAAGCTTGAATATTGTGTCCAAACTTGCCCCAACTGTTCATGGTTAGACCTCTGCGGTTGTATCTTGCTGCCCTCAGCGAAGCATTTTATTTTGTCAAAATTTGATCTTCTAGCTCATAATTCCCAGGGGCACCCCCTTACATCAAATCCTGGGTCTGTGCCTGGCTTGTATGAGGTACAAAGTGGCTTGCATTTCATTTCATACTGTTTGAGTTAGAGAACCGGTTTGTTTTTTTATTCAATTGAACAACTTTATAAAGATTTATAGCCATCATTTGAATGTTATTTTTTCCACTTTTTTTCATTTATCTGCAAATTTGGTATTTGGTATTTGGTATATAGTTGTATAAAGCTGAGTGAAAGATCAAGTGTGTATTGGGTTCTGGTAGGCCTACTTTTTATGATATTACAGACTTTTGTTTACATTTCATGAAGGTCTTACCTGTCATCATCTTATTTACAGCAGGCAGAGTCATATAGTGTAGATAAAGTTTTAGTATACAACTGATGGTATCTCAAGAGTTTTTTGCAATGCAGTTTTGCATTACAGTTTGTTTGATGAACACTTTTTTCATGCAGATTATTCAGTGATAAATATTACAGCAGTTACTGTATATTAGGGATATTTCTTCCTTGTCATAAAATAATTGAAATAGGGCAGTTTTATGTTATGTCATGTTCTGTAAAATTTTTGCAGGTTTCTTTTTAATACTTTCTACACTATTTTACAATAAAACATCAGATTTGTTAATTTTCAGTGTTGTTGCTGAAATTATATATGTATAAAGCCAATATTTAATGGTATCAGGATGAGATCTCAAAATGCTTGCATAGTAGAAAAAGCTAAAGTACAAGGTTTTCTGTTTAAAGGAAGTTTCAAAGCTGAATTTTTCCAAAATATCATTTATCATATTTGATTGTTGAGTTCATATTTATCAAGAAAAGTGTCTGGAATTTATGATCTTTATATAAAATGAAACAGTTTAAATGGATTATTTTTCAGTTCACTTATCCCAAGGATAGTGTTAAGTGTTGCCATCACTTGCCATCCATCATCATACTCAAACAAAGTCTTAACAAAAATATAATTTATGGAATTTTTTTTTGGAAAAATTTCTTTAGTTAAACTATTAAAACACTCCAGGGTATTATTTGAATAACTGTGACATGTGGAGCAGGATCTGCCTACCCTTCTGGAGCACCTGAGATAATGCCTAGTTTTTGGTGGGGTTTGTGTATCTCAGTCTTTAGTAGTCTATGTAGTGTTTTGTATAGTACAATACATATCCACTCCAATGAACTATGAATTAAAGTTTATATCTCTGATACTCTTTGTGGTTAACAATTTGGTGGGGTTCGTGTTGCTCAGTTTTTAGTAGTCTATGTTGTGTTTTGTTTACTGTTGTTAGTTTATTTTTGTCTTACGAGTTTGAATGTTCCTTTGGTACCTTTTGCCATTCTTTAACAATTTTATGTTCTACCTATAAAAGTTGGTTACCCCTTATCCCTCAGTATGATAATCTGTCCATTTTACTGATATTATTTATATTTAAATAAAATAATCCTCTTATAAAGTACAAACCGTATCCACTACATTACGTCACTTTTATTTAAATTTTATGCTTGAGTTACAATATTTAAAATATGAATTAAAGTTTATATCCCTGATGCCCATTGTGGTTTGTTCTAACAATATTTTGTCACAACTATAATCCCCTTAAGTTAGATTGTGGCTGTAAATTAAAAACAATAGAATTTTTTTTTACCTTGCCCGAATGTAGTTTATATCATGTTATTTTCAAAAATAAGATTAATATTATGGGTCACCTAACTTTTTTTCAAGCTACAGATTTTGTATGGGTTGTATATGGAAAAAGTACTTTTGTTTAAATAGAAAAAAACTAAACAATAGAATTGTTCACTAATAATATGAAAAGATGACTCTAATAATGGGTTTTCAAAAAATAACAAGAATATTTGGGTCAGCACATTATCTTTTTATTCAAATAAAAGATGTTACTGTAAGATGAAATCCTTTTTTTTTTTCATTTGAAAGAGAAGACTCACAAATAAATTCCTAAAATATTTTAGTGACTATGTCCTACATTTTACACGTGTTAAGTGAAATATTTTTTAGTGGGATTGCTTGCTCCCTGTCCAGAAGACTGTAAAAGACACTGTGAATATCGTTCTTTCAGCATCAATATTAATAGGTAGACTCCAGGTGAGCAATACAGCTGTCTAGGAACCTCTAGATTTTGTTTGTCTGTTTGGTAACACCTTTTGTTTTTTGTTGTTTTTTTAACACATTGTAACATTATACAGACATTGTACAGGATGATAATCATATTGATTGTAGAGACATGAAATATCATCATAAAATCATGTGTATTGTAATTTGTTCATAGATCAGACGGGATGTAAGTGTTTTATACAAAAGTCAGATGTTATTTCTGGCATGTTGTAATAAAGAAAACAGAGCTTATTAACTGTTGTTTCTATGCCATTGTTGCACAGTTTTGCCAATTGTAAAAAGGCTTTATAAAAGTAGATTAAATGGCAACATTTTCATGTGCCTGCCAATAGCCTGGAATGTCATCAGTGATTTGAATATATCATTTATTTTCATTCTTTGACTTTCAGATTATCACAATTTTTCAAGACTCTAGATGATTAATAGCTTGACAGATTTCATAATCACATATTTAATAGATATAAGAAGATGTGGTATGAGTGCCAAGGAGACAACTCTCCATCCAAGTCACAATATGTAAAAGTAAACCATTATAGGTCAAAGTTCGGCCTTCAACACGGAGCCTTGGCTCACACCAAACAGCAAGCTATAAAGGGCCCCAAAAATGACGTGTAAAACAATTCAAACAGGAAAACCAACGGTCAAATCTATATCAAAATCGAGAAACAAGAAACACTTATGAACCACATCAACAAACAACAACCACTGAACATCAGGTTCCTGACTTAGGACAGGTGCAAACAAATACAGCGGGTTTAAACATTTCAATAGGTGCCAACCTTCACCCTACCTGAAACAAATGGTAACATCACAACATAAAAAGACACACTATAAAATATCAATTGAAATGGCTTAACTCAATCAAAAGACATATTAACAAAAACAAGTGAACATACACTGAACGAATAAATTTGATCTATGACCCAATAAATACAAAATTAATAAAACAAGGGGGTTAGATGTTTAACAATATCAGAAAGACAACCATAACCTTGGACAAAATGCTGCCGAATAAAATAACGTACACAGGTAAATAAAAATAATTTTGTTGTAAGGTATACATGGAGTATGGAAATAATTTTTACAAAATAAATAATTTTGTTGTTCCTAATGACCAAGACTGTATATAGACCTCTGGTTTCCCTTTTGTTGTTTTTTTTTTTTTGCTAATTGGTTGCTGACTTAATGAGGTATACCCAATATCTCTTTTATATATATGTTTTTATGCCCCACCTACAATAGTAGAGGGGCATTATGATTTTCGGTCTTTGCGTCCGTCTGTCCCGCTTCAGGTTAAAAGTTTTTGGTCAAGGTAGTTTTTGATGAAGTTGAGTCCAATCAACTTGAAACTTAGTACACATATTCCCTGTGATATGATCTTTCTAATTTTAATGTCAAATTGGAGTTTTGACCACAATTTTACGGTCCACTGAACATCAAAATATGATAGTGCGAGTGGGGCATCCGTGTTCTATGGACACATTCTTTGTTTCTTTATATTCTATTTTTGTCAACTTTGGTATACTCTACTTACTGATAGGGAAAAACAAGCAAAACAACTTAATCAAAATAACTAAAAATGTATTGCTATACAGCAATGAAAACTTGAACCTACTTCCTGTCTATAAATTTAGTATGTAGTATGTATCTATATTTTCGCATTGCTCAATATCATGCTTTATTCAGACAGTTTATGTAGTCTTTACACTAAATCCATTGGATAGGTTCTGATTGATATTGTACTTCTGAGAGAACATGATCTTTTTTTAGTTGTAATTGCCTTTGAACAGGCATTCAGTAACTGAGTACTATAAGTTCGGTACTTTGTATCATTTGTTTTATGTTAGCCTGTTTGTGCATCATGCCAATCTGGTGAGTCTAGCATTTCCATCTGATTTTAAAGTGTTTTCTTATGTAGTGCTTTTACTCCACTGTCAAGGTTAGGAAAAGGGTGGAACGCTCAGAAACATGTTTAACCAGCCGTGTTCTTTATGTGTCCGTTACTAGTCAGGAGCCTGCAATTCAGTGATTATCCTTAGGGACTGTCATATCTGTTTTTTGTTTATTTTTTTGTCATAATTCAAGGCCGTTGGCTTTCTTATTTGCATTGTTTCACATTTTGTCATGTAGGGGCTTTTTATAGAAGAATATACGGTATTGGTTTATTTCATTGTTGAAAAAAGGTCGTACAGTGACATATAATTGCTTACATCCTTGTCATTTGGTCTCTGGTGAAAGTTGATTCATTGACAATCATTCCTCATATCTATATAGAAATAAGAAGATGTGGTATGAGTGCCAATGAGACAACTCTCCATCCAAGTCACAATGTGTAAAAAGTAAACAATTATAGGTCAAAGTACAGCCTTCAACACGGAGCCTTGGCTCATACCGAACAGCAAGCTATAAAGGGCCCCAAAAATGACGTGTAAAACAATTCAAACAGGAAAACCAACGGTCAAATCTATATAAAAAACGAGAAACGAGAAACACTTAAGAACCACATCAACAAACGACAACCACTGAACACACAGGTGCAAACAAATGCAGCGGGTTTAAACGTTTTAATATATATAATTTGTATATATTCATGAAGAATTAATCCCCACTACCTTTACCAATTACCAATGTAGACATGCAAAAGAAGATTGGAGATTGACCCCTTTACTAAAACATGAGCATAGATAGCCAGAAAAAGAATATCCTAACACACATGTCTTTTGTTTGGCCAAATTTGAAGACATAACAAAGCATAATAACAATAAGTCACCATACTTCTCAAAATTATATTGTGTTTTAGTATGAGATGTTGTATATCACTTCATGTTATAATATATGTTTAAATATAAAAATTAATAATTCTACATCTACCAATGATATCACTATAGTGCACAAAAAGTCCATAGTCACATAAGTTATTTGTGTAATTTTACATATTTTCAGTTTTAGCACAGCTATCATAATGATTTTGAAAGTGACTTTATAAACATGGTATAATGTAGGTCTCCAACCACCAAATAACAACTAAGGATAACAATACAAATAAATAGAATAGTCTACTAGAGCATACATTTATTCTATTTGTGAAATACTGTTTTTTCACAAGAAAGCTTTCTTTAACAATAGCAACTTTTGTTGAAAAATTTGAAAGGCTATGCACCTTAATTATAGATTCCTCCTCCTACTTCAATATGAAAGAAACTAATGAAAGTATCTTGCAGATATCTAAAGTAGATTTATCCAGGTGTTGTATAGCTGAGATCTTCCTTTGTTGTATATTTGAGATTTTCCCTTCTTTCAATTTCATTCTGAATTTTTTCAGTGTCTTGGTTGAACTTCAAAGCAATCATCATCTAAAATGAGAAACACATGTATTTATAATCAAAGTAAAACATAGCTTGTTTGCTGTGTTGGATTTCTGGATAATGTAAGCTAATGCTTAATGCTCATGCTAGGCAGCAAAAAATGTATTAATCCATGTTAAGCTGTATATACAGCAGAAAGTGAGAAAAAAACAACCAAAATCCACACATTTTTTTTCTGAAGGATTAATTCCGGATTTTGATACAGTAAGCATATTTGTACAGCACTTCTAACCCCCAAACCCCATCCCTCCAAAAAAATTAAGAAATAAAAACTATTCTTAATTTCAATAATCAAATGAAACACAGTTTCTCAATGCATACCATCCAATTTGATATTTTGAGCTTTATACCTAATCCTTAAGTTACCTTTAGTTTCAATACCGTGTGTGGACCAATAGCCTGAAAAAAACAGACAAAATTATTTGCTAGAAAACTTTATTTAAATTTCTATGTTATTGAACACAAGCTACCTGCAAAGTAAAATACAGAGTAGTGTTTTGAGTGGTTACTAATTTTTAGTTGCCGAAGTAAGACATATTTTCTCTAGCTTGAAAAATGTCCCATACCAAAACATAGCTGCATGAAAACATTGATTTAATTGCCTTGTCTACAATAAATATAACTGAAATCATTGCCTTGGTATGCTTGATCTGCAGCAGCGAAAACACATTTAACTAGAATCAAGAAACTTTGGTCTGTATATTCATATCTATGTATACGTGATAATCCCTTTTGGGATTCCGTGTCCGGAGATATTTGTCTGATTTTGCAGCAATCAGAGCGACCAAATCTGAAAAAAAGTTACAGACACAGAATCCCAAAATGGATAAGTGTACATGATTATCTGATTGTCTTTGAAAAATCAATTGACTTTTGACCATATAATTATTTTTAATGGAACAGTTAAGTTTTCATTACAAGTCAGTTTCATAACCAAAATCCTGCCCTTTGCTCTGGTATTCTATTGCAACATCACCAAATGCAACTTGTAACCTGACTGTTTAAATGCAATCAAAACCCTATTGTCACTGGCATAATATCTTTAACTCCTGTACATGTCCATACCAAGAAATGTATTTATAATATATGCTCAGATAACTGAAAAGAGGAAGATATAGTCAATTAAATTTAAAAAGTTCCCTTAATATGTTGCATTGCTGAATTCAATGCAATGTTCACATTGCGAAATAAAGGCAATCTTTTCCCTCCAGTTCTCACAACCACTTTCATTACTTGTTTATGAGCAACACGACTGATTCCACTAGTAAAATATGAACTGCTTTCCCTTCCGAAAATACGAGTTCACCAATTCTGTTTGATATGATGCTTTTATGTTCTTTCAATATCTGTTTTGATTCTATCCATAACTTTATTATTTGTATGTACACTGTGTATACGGCACTTCAAACTTTTAAATTTGGCCATGATACTTACATGTAAAATGTGTTATAAAAAAGATAATTACATATCTGTTATTGCGGAGTGTGTTATAACCGGTATAGAAATCCGAATATGTTGTACGATTGCCAATCAGGCAACTGTCCAACAAACGACAAAAAGATAAGGCCCCGGATAACAATTTTGTAATAATATTACAGGGAAAACTGAAGTCACAATTCAAGTTGATAACATTAAACGATACGAAAGGCGATGACTATCGTCAACTACTGGACTGCGGGTTCCCGACTGCATATAACGAATGATGGCGGGTCTAAACATATTTGTTAGCCACCTGCCCTTCTTAACCTGGGACAGTGATTTAACGCCACAACATCATAACAAACTGTAAAAGTTATTTTCATTAACCGATTTGAACAGAATTAACATGACGGGTGCTACTAGTGGAACTGTTATTGTCGATTCCTCCAGAGAACATGGGTTCACCTCCAGTTTATGGTTGGGCTCGTGTTGCGTTTAATCTTAAGTTCTCTGTATAATGTGCTGTGTACTCTTGTATATATGTATCTCTTTTTATGCTGGCCATGGTGTTGTCGACTTATTAATTTAATCCCTCCTGTTTCTCTTTTCCTTTAAAAAGTTGCACTGTAAAGACGCCCACAAATAAGTACTAGAATAGCTTTGCCGTAGATCAAGAAAAAATCCAAGATCATCAAATTTTATGGTGATCGTAGAATTTGTTATGTTCCTTTAATTCACTGAGATATCTTATATAAAAATATGAACAATATGGAGTGAATGGACGTCCTCACAGATAATGCAAAAATCAAATTTTCAGATCTTGCTGTTTTTTTTTCAATCTGTATATAATTGATATAGAGGGCTTACTATGAATGAACATGTATTCTGCTTCTTATGAATACACAATTATTGACCACTGGGTTACTTACTGTGTTCAAACATCGGTCTACCAACAATGATGTTGACGATCAAAAAGAGTTCCAGAATTTTTACAATTCTTCATTATTGGAATCAGTGCAGTTCTCTACAACTTATGATTTTATCTGATAAGATCGAATGACCATTATAAGATTAGCTATTAAATGTTCTGGCATTTCAGATTCAAACGAGGCTTCATCCCTTATGCTGTTGAACTAGCATGTTATTTTCAAGAAGAACAATGAGCGTCCACTCCATCGTTCATAATACATCGACTTTTTATATTAAATGTTTTTTTCTGTTTACAAAATGTTTTGAAGTATTGCAAATTCTAAAATTAGTGCACACAACTACTGTTGTGAATCTTTGTCGACCATATAACAAGCGAGATTAATAAATGCAACATAAAACCACATTTTACTAACAGAACACTGCTGAATTATCATCCAGTTGTTGTATTAATGCTTTGAACATCCTGACTGATTTTAGCATTATGATATCACAATCACATATTTGACAGACATTTGATGTATGATATTACATGGACATCTTTGCATTTTCGTTTTCTACCAAAATATGGTGCTCCATCTAATCAGTTATTGTCATTCCAAATTTGCGTACGTCTGACCGTGATCACGTATTCTTAAAGAAATAATAAACATAGACGTTTGACATTTTATATGCTGTTGCATAAAAATCCTGTCCATCTATTTATTTTTAAAAATAAGCTTCTCCTTCACTCATGCTTCAATAATGCATTGTTCAATTTGTAAGTTTTCTTATTAAATGTGCTATTGGTATAGATAGACCTTCGATATTAAGTGCTCTGTAGCATAAGTATCCGTTCATTGAAGTTTCGACACTACGCGTCACATTTGTAACTTTTGTTGGTCTTAGTGCTATTCAACACCTTTTGTCTTCAAGTAACATGTTTATGTGAAAACATATTTACAAAAATACCGGTTTCCATGGTCCATAAAACCATAAAAACAAAATCAAACGTTAGTCAGCTATATCAACCAACGGAACGAATGGGAAACAACTGTCATGCTCCTGACTTGGTTCATGCATTTCCCGAAGAAAATGGTAACTTAAATCTCTTTTATAGCTAGCTTAAACTCCCACGTGTATGAGAGTAACTTGTAGTTCAGTTATGTTGACAAAATTGGGTGAGCAACCCAAACAGACATAATTGGTTAATGTGACAATAATTGGGATCCAGCAGCCAAAACTGTGTAAACATACTTCCCGTTTGAATGGTTTTACACTAGTCATTTTTGGGACCCTTTATAGCTTGCTGTTCGGTGTGAGCCAAGGCTCCGTGTTGAAGACCGTACTTTGACCTATAATGGTTTACTTTTACAAATTGTGACTTGGAACGGAGAGTTGTCTCATTGGCACTCATACCACATCTTCTTATATCTATCACATACATACAAAAAACATAACTGACTAAGGAATTCCAGCACACATACAAATAAATATGACAAAGACGCCAACAAATAAGCTATTGCAGTTGATAGTAAATCTGACAAAGACGCCAACAAAAACATTTATGTAGTTGATAGTATATACAGTTAAAAAAAATAATGCCGTACTAGTATACACTTTCCCGATAATGGGAATTATCTAGGGTAATACTAGGGTAAACAAAATGAAAAAAACGTTAAAACCTCATTCGTCCGAATCGCACCTCTGGACCTACTTGCACCATGAACGCCCAAAGCAAAAACCCCGATAGCTTGATGCGCAAATACCGAATCACGTGAAGAATCATACGACCAAAAGGAACATAATCACACAATAATAAATTACTGTTAAATAAATAAAAGATACACAACTTCAGTACATAGAATCTATAACTTACGACCATCTTGTATTATTTGTTAAGTAGACCCTGAATATGTATTAGTTAGGTCTCGGTACTTTCCGATGATTTTTTTTAGAAAAAGGACGAGACGTTCTTTGACAAAATAGTGGCTCATTAATTTTTTCCTCAGACACCGATGACGTTTTACAAAGGCTGAGTAGCAGCTGCAAGCTCTTAAAAATGTCGTATGAGTTGAGAATGTATACTCCATACGCGGGTGAAGTTGGAATATTGCTGCTAAGATGGGAAAATTTATGATTTCAAAATTGAAATAGTCTTGTTTGTCATGGATTCTGCTACTGAGATGGTCGCTGTAGTCAAATTTGAGATGTATGTCTAGAAATGAGACGGAGGAAGCTGTATCTGTGATTTCTTTAATCTCTAGTTCAGGAGACAAATTTAATTAACTATTAATGTAATATAGTAAAAAGAATTCCCCGGTTTGTACTTGCATGAGCAACACGGCGGGTGCAACATGTTTAGCACCTGAGATCACCCCGATTTTTGTTGGGGTTCGTGTTGCTCAGTCTTTAGTTTTCTATGTTGTCTTTTGTATACTGTTGATTGTCCTTTGGTCGTTTTTTTTTGGGTTTTTTTCATGGCTTTGTCAGTTTGTTTTTGGTATCTTATCTCTTCAAAAATCTTTCATACCAATCTTTTCCATGATGGACTATTATCTTGATTCAACATAACTTCATAACCTTTTTATATTCAATTTTTACAGCATGTTGTTATTTTTTTTGAAACCCTTCCATACACATGGTTAATATTGGACCAATCAGATTAGCCAGGTAGGCCAGATATACACATTATTACTAATTGACTCACCATATATGCCACATAGGCCAGATATACACATATTATTATAACAGAGATAACATAAACCCACCACTGATCTCCGGTTCCCTAAGAAAAAATATAAATCAATTTAAATCATTTTTCCCCTCAAAATTGCAAAGTAAACTGCTTTAAAGATCCTTGTCAAAGGAATATAAAACACGTAAATTTGAATCATGTCTCATATAATGTAGTTCAATATTTTTCAATTATAATCATGTAAACTAAATCATATAATTTATTGAGTCAAAATGTATCTACCACATAATTCATACAACCATTCAAAATGTCGGCTATTATACTTATGTTTTTTTCGTGAACGATATATTTTTTGTTGAACTCTTATTATCCAATTCTTTTGAGCACCTGCCTTTAGTGACCATTGAATCTGAATGACTGCATGGTATACCTGTCCATTTGCATCAGCCACAATGAGGACTAAATGATATTTTTTTAAAACATGTACGTATATATACCGGTATATAATTTTTGGAAAGTGCTTAATTATTTATATGAATTATGTCTATTTGGTTGAGTGTTCTTTAAGGACTTGCCCATGGTGACTCCTGAATCTGGACAGCTTTGTTCATTGACATTCGTCACGTGGAGGACTTAAACCATCAAATTTATTTCATAATAGATATGATGCGGCTTCTGGTGCATAGTAAACACACACTGAACATCAAGGTCGATTATTAACCATGTTATATTCCAAATTTGAGCTGTTTTTTTTTTATATCTATATTATGAATATTGCATATGCTAATCGTTGTTCTGATTTTGCCCATACTAGGTCCTCTATTGGATATAAATTTTATCTTATTGTTAAAGTTGACTATTTCATTTTACATTTGGGTCAACTTTTAACCTGTTTTTCAAGCACATGCATTCATCTTATTTGGAATGTTCATTGTAATATTTGGATTTTAATGTTCCTAGGCTCAATAGTAACATTGAATGTATTCATGGGATATTATCTTCCTGTAAGATACATGCAAACATACCACAGATATTATAACAAGATAAAAGTTAATCCCCATAACTAAAATAGCTAAGCTCCAAACAGTAATCTTCATGACTCTACAACAGAAAAAAAAAAGTTATATGAAATGAAACATGTGTACATTGCTATTTTATGGCTTAAAAATGAAGAAGGAAAAAAAACGTATTCTTTGTCATATAGCCGGTCGTTTTGATGTTCAAATAAACATTTTTCTACAGTTCTAACCACCATTCTTTCTACAGTAAAAGATGACCTTCAGAAATATGTGATGAAGTATATACAACCAGCGGTGTCAATCAGATGTGGATTCTTAAAAATTCCAAAGATCTACTACAAAACTTTCAATCATAATTTTTACAATCTTGCAGTAATATAAAAACGTTTGATTTTTCAACACTTCCCCATGCTCTATTAAAAAATTGAATACATCGTCTCGTTATACAGAACTGTTTCTACGAAAATGGGTATCGTAGATACAAATTTCTTGTTTAAGGCTTTTGAAAATCGATTTATTACTGTCGACTACATTTACCCTGTTGTCGATCCCGGTCTTCTTTAGGGGTTCTTGCGATTCCTACAGTTTATATGTGTTACCTTTATTTGTCTCTTCCTAATCGATTTATGATATTTGAACATCGGTAAACTACTGTTGCCTCTTAAAATTGTTACCAGTATCTCAAAGTTCAGTAATAACAAGTAAACTCTTTACACTTAATCCGTTGGAAGTGTATTGATTGACATTTTAATCTGAGAGAACATAGTTTATCTAGTAGGACTTTTTAACTTTGAGTACTCTTAAATTGGTACTTTTTATTTTTTGTCTTGTGTCTTTCTGATATTTGTGTTGTGCTTAGTACCGATCTGATGAGTATAGCCATTTTCAACTGATTTTTAGTTGGTTCTTATGTTGTACTATTACACCACTGTCTCAGTTTAGGGGTTTGAGCTCTAACAAACATATCAATACCCACGACCTTTATGTATATGCCTGACCCAAGCAAGGAACATGTAATCTAGTGGTTGTCATTGGTTGCTGTCTGCCATATTTGCTTTTTTTACATTGTTGTAATATACACAAGACAGTGGGTTCTTTCACATTTTTCTCACACCGGTGTTTTTTATAGTTTACGATACGGTTTAAGTTTTGCTCATTGTTGATTTCAGAAATGTGATCTGTAATTATTTCCAATTTTTTCCTTTTGGTCCGTAGATAGTTGTCTCATTGGTTATAACACTACATCTCCTTATTTTCATATTCATAGTGATTAAGAAAGTGTATTAGGTATGTAAAGTAAATGTTTAGGAAAAGATGTCCTCACTTTTTAAGTTATTTTATAGCTGGGGGTGTGAAGCACACACCAGTGACTAGTTATATTATTTTCTGGCTTGGTATACTTTTACCTTCCATTTTTAAACTCTCTCATAATGGTTTCACTGCTCGTAAAGTGTAAAACAGGTAACAAAGCAAACGGAAGTTGTACACTCTGGAGGACATTCAACCAGTTGTTCATTGCATCAAGGTCATTGGTTGCTATGAGAGCCACAATAATTGTTGGTACCATGGCAATAGATCTAGTCAATAAAACCCGCTTCCATTTTGACCATCTTATATTCATAAATCCCTGGAAAATAATTGTATACTTTTACAAACTGTCAAATACTTATATGGCTTGCCTTAAATTGATATTCATTTTGCATTTATATTGCTTAAGAATCATCAGCAAAGAGTATTCTCGTCTGACAAGAATGAGATCTTCCAGCAAAAAATTATATTCACTATGAAAATTCTTATATAAAAATGTATCATACTAACCTCCATTACAAACTGCCCTGCATAAGTTCCCTGAAATAATACCATGAAAAATTATTTTAAAAATATTCTTGAATAAATGAAAAGAATCATGGGGTATCAGGGAGAATGAGTATCACCTTCTATTTGTAAATTTTATAGAAGACTTCAGTTAAAAAACGAAATGGTGTTCTTAAAGAAAACTACAAGATTGTATTAGAATAGGGTAAGTGAACTTATTTTGTCAATATTCTGAAAAGTAGGTTAATGTGACATATTGTATATACACCTGGAAATATTTTTAGGACCGTGTGTTGATTTCTTGATGTCTTTTTTATGTCGTTAGGTTTAAACCCACCCCACATCATCTTGTATCGTATACAATATATTTTTTTGTGTGTATATGTATTATAATATTTGTATAAAGCTACTATACTGTCAGACCTGAGACTACTATAACACAGTGTTATAGTAGTCTGAGGTTAGACTCATTTTAGAACTAACCTTTATCTATATTTCATATATGTTCATAATCTTATGGTTAGACAAAAGATACTTATTTTTGTCATGTTAAAGCTACAAGTGGAAAAACATTTATAAATCAAATAATATTTTAATTATCAAACATTTAGTATCAAGTATGCATTATTAAGTATAGTCTAGAACCATGAGTCACTCTATATGTTATAAGCCCCTTGTCGACTTTATACTGTATATAATTTGTAAATATAAAACTCCGACAAACAAACATGTTGTTTATTTGCGATACCATGTGTTATTGATATGGTCTTGTGATATTATTTCAAATAATCTATAACCATTATTGAACATTGTTAGTGTTTGTGACTTCTATTATACTGTACCGTCATAGTAGAACTTTGACCAGCAGACAGGATACCTATACCCCAAATAATCTTTACACCAAGCCCGTATTGCTCGTATAACCAAGCGCCCTAAAATATTGCAGTTTAAAAAGTCTTTCAAAAATGACAAGAAAAGTTTCCTAAATGATGCTCTTACGTTCAGTAATTGTAATTTTCTGTTTTCAACAGAGAAATCAATGAAATGACCTAAATTCACAATTTCAATGTGAACTTTTGCACTGAAATGTCATTGATATCCAATAAAAATTATACACTTTAATTTACTGCTAGGATTTTGATCACATTTCTAACTAAAAGAAACAGATTTCAGTTCTTATGACCAAATGTCCTTCTAAGGTTTACTGTAGAAAATATGCATAAAACATGATTTACTTACAGCATTGTGTAAACTAGCTGTCTCTCTGAAAGTTGGACCCGAGAAAGCTGCAGCAAATACAGCTAGCACAAACAGGTTGATGATAAAAGATATAAACAATGCTATTGCTGAAAATATAATTATAGAAAAAAAACATAGAGGGGTAGAGATGAGAACTAATAACAGAGGCACTCAACTAATAGTTATATTAATTGGGTGCAAACTATATCAAAAGTATTCATCAAATATATATTATCTGTAATATTGTGTATTAACAAATGTAATTTCTAACATTTCTTGGCAATTGAAACAAAATATAATTTCTAACATTTCTTGGCAATTGAAACAAAATACAAACTGTGTGTAGCTGTTTTAATCTATTGAACTAAAAGACAAATTTTAAAGACAAGCTGGACGTGTTCAATCAGGTAAATGTGTACGTTTGCGTTGACAGATTCAATAAACAAATCTAAGTGCGTTTATTGTGCAAAATAAAGATATACAGAGGTCTGAGACTGGACGTAGGCTTGCTTAGAAAACGTCAGCTAGAAATTATTCGTCTGTGCAATAGGGATCTGGGTTGGCTATATACATTTACGTTAAAGATATATCGTGTATAAAGATAACACTTGGTTGTAGAAGAATAGTTTAGACAATTAATAAGACCTGATTCTATACTGTTGTATTTGATTGCCTCAGACACCTCATGTTTGTCAGTTCTATCAATATTTCTTGTCTACAAGAACAAAGTTTTACTATAATTTTTATAAAAGTTCCAGACTTATTTCAAATACAATATATAGTTCAAGACATTTATGTTAAAATTCGTTTTCAAAGATATAAAAATAGTTGTGTGTACTTAAACTTTATTTCTGGTTTTTATTCAGAAATTGAAAATAGCTTTACTATCAATGAATCGCAATTTTTGTATTTACTTTACAATAAATCTAAGAATTATTTATAAATAACATACTAAAACTAGAGCACTGTGGAGATATATATTGTGTGGCATGATGACTGCTCCCACAATTCCTACTAACTGTACAATGGAGTCTTTGTCACAATTCTCGCACCATGGAAACCACATTCCAATTAGAATGTCTCCTTGGCTTGGCATAATTTTCACATACTAAAATAATGAAATGTATTATTTCAGTATATACATATTCTTTATTTCGAAAGCAATACAGCTTATAGGCATCATTATATTACATTAAATATAATAGTAAACATCACATAGTACAATATAGTAATTCATTAATACAATTCATACAATTTAAAACAAATCTAGGAGCATGATACTAATTAATATAATTTAACAATCTTGAAGTATGATATACACATTCAACAATTACAATTTTTTTCGGCAATACATAAATACTTCCCAAAATTATTCAAGTCGTAATGATTTTCTCTGCGAAAGGCTGTACTACATTTTCTATTGTTTAGGGAAATTGTTTGCAAGATATAGACAGTGTAATAACTATACTATTGGAATTAGATACTGTCGAACATTGAAGTCTTTTGTCATTCACATCTTTAGAATTTTTTTTTTAAATGACAGGTACGTTTACGCATCGCATCAAGACTAACTTTTAGTGTAGCTGTCACGAAAAATCAATTACAAACTAAAAACAATTTTACAGGGTAAAGGTGTCTGTATTATGACCGTAGGTGTTGTTATCATTCTTCTCGTTGACCTTTACCTGTATTACTTACAATATAGAAAAAAGTTATAGCCATTGTTGTGATAAGAGCACCAAAGAATGCTTCTAACTTCCTCAGCCCTGCACTTTCCAGAAACAGAAATGTGAAGGTATCAACACCAGTTATCAACACACCTGCCCATATAGGTATTCTGAAATAATTATTTGTAATATGAATAAAAGGAGATTTGGGGTAAACGATAATGAGACACCAACCAAGCACACAAAATAACCAAAAGACATGTATAGGTCAGCATATGTTAGGACATATGACCATGCAGGTATCCTGAAATGCTTTTTTGTATTAGTATAATTGCACATATATACATATGTACATCGTGGAGTTAATGATAATTTGTTATAGAACACATTACTATATTGAATTCCCTGAATGAATATATTTTTGTCAACCATAACTATCGTATTGTGTGCTGATAATCAAAGTATCATATGCTGCTAACTAGAGTATCCTGTACTGCTAACTAGAGTATCCTGTACTGCTAACTAGAGTATCCTGTACTGCTAACTAGAGTATCATGTGTTGCTGCTAATATTCAACAGCACCTACATAGTTTACATTTCCTCTATTTAGGAGTAAGCTCGGTCTTGAAATTCATACATAAACAATGAGTCAGTTGCATAAATTTTAATTCAGATCCCTTCATATGAGTGAAAAATCATCCATTGATATTTGTATTTGTGTTTACTATTTAAGCAATCAATACTGCTAAAAAATGTCTTTATATGTAGAATAATACGATTATCATTAAATAGTCATTAAATGCTTATTTCTTACTTGTGATTGGATAATAGATTTAAAGCAATAGCTGATCCTATTACTTCTTGTATATCACTTCCAACGATGGCGATTTCAACCATTAACCACAGGGTGATACGAGGAAACCTTGGATATTCTAGATGACACACTTGTGCTAGATTCATACCTGTAAATTTCAATTTAAACAAAAATCTTAGTCATTGAATTAAAGTTGAGACTACTATGATCATACACCTAAAATGAACTTATTATCATTATAGAGTAAAAGAAAATTATAAGCGCTAGCTGTTGATGAATGGTTATTTCCTGTTTATTTTGGAATTGTTGTCTCAATTACATCAATTTCATATCCTAGGCCTAAAGTTACTAAACAAGAACATATTGAATATTATCCAGTGCATGTAAACCATTTTAGCTAAATAAATAGTTCATAAGCTGAGTCTATACCAGCTGACATTAAACAAAATATCGTATGTCCATTGAACATCGTATTTATCTCGCGAGACGTAACACGCGTTTTAGTTAGCGTTCCAATAACGGAAAGGAACGGTTATGGTGTATTAATAAATGACACAAAATCATTATACGCATATGACAAAAACTAAGGAGCAGCACTTGTATTGCTGCTTTTTTGGTAAAGCCTTCAACATGAAAAAAAAACTCTCATCCTCTCATTTCACTGCAAATTTATATACGGTCATAATACTAGCAATGGTTGGAGCGAATGTATTTTATTGCTATCGAGTACGCTTCTTCGGTTTATTGAAGAACACTGCGGTGTATTATCAACATTACGAAGAAGAGAAATATTCTCGTATATTATGGGTTTTCGTGCTATTAAGAATGCATTGTGATGTCACAATTTCCATTGAAAAAGCATGCATAGTACGAATTCATATATTTTACGAAATAATATGATCTGACCATATATTTGATTCAAATACCAAATTCACATTCACAATCTAGAGATAGTTGCAGGCGGCAAATACATAGGAGTGTACATTAGGCATGACCTGATATGACTTGAAGAATACTTGGGTTTTTTTACGCAACTTCAGAAACTTCCACGGGAAGTTAAGTCACCTTTGTAAAAACCAAACATTTAGATGTATTGCCAATGAGTGTCGGAGAGCCAGAAGTAGCACTTATAACGAGAAGAAGAAGAAAAAAATGTACGTACGTCTCTGCATGGTTGTTGAAAGAAGTTTGGTGATCTCTTACTGTTGATAAAATGAGATGTGGGTTACTTGTCAAAGAGAAAGACAACAATCCTATGATACGAGAAGGCAAACATCTTCTAGATAGAGGCCAACATGCACGGTCTTCAACAGCAGACAAATGGATTCTTTTTGTTGGGTTAATTTTGTATGGCTACAATCTCATGTGCAAGTATCTCACAATCGCTTTACCAGTGAATTACACGATCTTGCTCTGTAATAAGCTCACATGCCGAAAATAAATAAGATTTAATTTCAACTTGAAATCACTAAAAAAAGAAAAAGAGATCATGCTGTAAAACTATGTTGGTTCATACCTGTAACGCATCCTAATCTTGCAGCCAATAGTTGAAGTATCAGCCCGAGTACTGTGGACCACATTAACACCCATATTAACTGAAACAATAAATAATTCTATATTAAAATAACCAAAAACACATATTTTGACGTTGAAATGGTACGCAGAATTAATTACATCTGAGATTATTGATTCTCTAAAACGATAAATAGTTATACTATAAATTTTCACTTCGTACTATGAACATCAAAATTATTTATTTTGTAAAAATATTTCATTTCTCTATTGGAACTGTACACGTATACCTAACAACAAAATCATTTTCATTTACCTGTGTTTAAAATAATTGCAAATGGCTGATAGTTTTGTTCGAGCATATTGTTTTTCTTAAATTGTTTAACATTTCATACCGATATACCATGTTACTTTTATTATTCTTCCCTTAGTTTATTTATTTTGTATTTGCATTATATCATAGGTCAAATTTATTTGTTCATTGTATGTTCATTGGTGTTAATATGTCCTTTGATTGAGTTAAGCTATTTCAGTTGATATTTTATAGTGTGTCTTTCTATGTTGTGATGTTACACTATTGTTTCAGAAAAGGGGTGAAGGTTTGGTACCATTAAAACGTTTAAACCCGCTGCATTTGTTTGCACCTGTCCTAAGTCAGGAATCTGATGTTCAGTAGTTGTCGTTTGTTGATGTGGTTCATAAGTGTTTCTCGTTTCTCGTTTTTTATATAGATTAGGCCATTGGTTTTCCCGTTTGAATGGTTTTACACTAGTCATTTTTGGGGCCCTTTATAGCTTACTGTTCGGTGTGAGCCAAGGCTCCGTGTTGAAGACCGTACTTTGACCTATAATGCTTTACTTTTTTAAATTTTGACTTGGATGGAGAGTTGTCTCATTGGCACTCATACCACATCTTCTTATATCTATCAAGTAATATTTTTTTCAACCTGTACATGGAACTGGTATTTAATGATTATTTTTAACGCGTAGCATTGATATGATATGACAACACAGAATCCTTCAGAATTACATGTATGATATGACAACACAGAATCATTCTGTTTTATAATACGTTCGTTTGGCCATTCACAAAAGTTCTGTATTCTGGTATCATAGAGTGGTGTGCTTTTTTTATCTAAAGCTTTCGTTTGTTCTTCTATAGCCATTGGCTGATATTGAAAGTTTAGGGTTGAATATTGAAAAACTAGATAAACTTAAAGACAGGTTGAAAAAACTCGTCAAACTGTGTTTAAAAAGGAAAAATAAATGCCAACATAGACACATCAGTATGCTTGATATGTTTTTATTGACAACATATTTGTAGCGTTTTGCGGATGTGTTTTTAAACAGACTATTGGTATTCTCATAGGAACTAAATCTGCTTCTTTTCTTGCCGATTTGTTCCTTAATTCATATGAGGCAAACTTCATACAGGAGTTTCTTAGCAAGAATGAAAACATGCCTTTTCTTTAACTTCAGGTTCCGTCATATAGATAATGTCCTATCACTAAATAATTCAGAATTTGGTGACTATGTTGAACGCATCTATCTCATCGATCATAAAAAAAGAACACCACTGATACAGGCAAGTCTGCCTCTTATCTCAATTTACATCTAAAAATTGATAATGATTGTTGGTTGAGAACAAAACTGTTCGACAAAAGAGTTGATTTCAGTTTCCAATTGTGAACTTCCCATTGCCATATAGCAACAGCCCCAGCAGCGCCTGTATTTGGAGAATAGATATCTTCCAGTTGATACGATATTCCAGAGCTTGTGTTTCTTGACATGATTTCTTTGAAAGTGTGATGCTGCTTCCAAGGAAACGATTGGACGCATGGTTCCTAGTAGTAAGGTTGAAGTCATACCTTCGAAAGTTTCACGGACGCCATCCTGCTTTGGTTGACTTTTATGGATATTTGTGTCACAGATGACCACACATATATTCCAATTGTCGTGTTGTGACCATTCATTAGTAATGGCATTACTTGTACAACTACAGGCAGTGATCAGACTTGAGGGACAACTACATTGTGACCATTCATTAGTGATGGCATCACTTGTACAACTACAGGCAGTGATTAGACTTGAGGGACAACTACATTGTGACCATTCATTAGTAATGGCATCACTTGTACAGCTACAGGCAGTGATCACACTTGAGGGACAACTACATTGTGACATTCATTAGTGATACTTGTACAACTACAGGCAGTGATCATACTTGAGGACAACTACATTGCGACATTCATTAGTAATGGCATACCTTGTACAACTACAGGCAGTGATCACACTTGAGGGACAACTACATTGTGACATTCATTAGTGATGGTATCACTTGTACAACTAAAGGAAGTGATCAAACTTGAGGGACAACTACATTGTGAAATTCATTAAAGATAGAATACCTTGTACAACTACAGGCAGTGATCATACTTGAGGGACAACTACATTGTAACATTCATTAGTGATGGTATCACTTTTATAACTACAGGTAGTGATCATACTTGAGGGACAATTGCATTATGATATTCATTAGTGATGATATCACTTGTACAACTACAGGCAGTGATCACACTTTAGGGACAACTTCATTGTGACATTCAGTAGTGATGGTACTAGTATTACATGAACAACTACGGGCAATGATCAAACTTTAGGGGCAACTACATTGTGACATTCATTAGAGATGGTATCACTTGTACTACTACAGGCAATGATCACACTTGAGGGGCAACTATATTGTGACCATTCATTGGTAATGGCATTACTTGTACAACTACAGGCAGTGATCACACTTAAGGGACAACTACATTGTGACATTCATTAGTAATGGTATTACTTGTACAACTACAGGCAGTGATCATACTTATGGGACAACTACATTGTGACATTCATTAGTGATGATATCACTTGTACAACTATAGACAGTAATCATACTTGAGGGACAACTACTAGTACATTGTGACATTCATTGGGGATGGTATTACTTGAACAACTACGGGCAGTGATCATACTTAGGGGGCAACTACATTGTGGCATTCATTAGAGATGGTATCACTTGTACTACTACAGGCAGTGATCACATTTAAGGGACAACTACATTGTGACATTCATTAGTGATTGTATCACTTGTACAACTACAGGCAGTGATCATACTTGAGGTACAACTATATTGTGCCATTCATTAGTGATTTTATCACCTTCACCACCTCTCCAGACTGACAATATTAATTTTACAAGTCAGGATATCGCGATGATCACATTTATAGAAAGACATTCTAAAGTGACTTCTGTATGACCATTCGCAATATGTATTGTATGGTTTCTAGAAAAAGTACTGTTAGATCTACTACTTTTAATTGATAAGTACAATGAGCAGTTTGAAATGATAACATCATGTGTGTGACTACCCTTTACTCTGACACTTTTTCGACATTAAGTTTGACCAACAATTGTTATCTATATTTATACACTTCCAATTATTTATTCCTTTCCTAACAGTTTGCTAGACCAATGCAATAGTATGCTTGGTACATTTTTTGTTTCTCTCTTGTGCCCAAGCTAAGCGAGTAATTTGTATTGCGCTTTAAGTATAAGCTCTTTCTTTTGTTTAGTTATGAAAAAATGGATAAACTGTGGACCGCATTATATCTTATTTTTTTCAGATATTCATAAATCTTGTCAAATGTTCACACATAACGGAATAGACACCATGAAAAGTATTGACCGAATATACAAATGAATTTTTTTTATATTGACACTGGTGTAAATAGACATTACCAAACGAAGGTCTACAAAAAGATGATTTACCTTTTAAATCATAATATTTTTTCTATATCTACCAGAAATTCTGCGACAAAAATTGGTTTCAAAAGTCCCAAGTTACTTCAATATCTCATATCATGATAGACTCTTCTTAATAGAATTATATATACTAAGTAGTTGCTAATTTTCACGTCATTTGTTCTCTGGTTAAAAGTTGTCATTGGCAATCATACAACACCTTTCTGATAAATATTGATATGTAAAGTAGTTGACTTATATAAAACTGTTTACTCGTTTGATGTGTTTAGGTCTTTAATTTTGCCATTTGATAAGGTACTTTTCGTTTTGAATTTTCCTTGTGGTTCGGTATATTTGTTTATATTTTAGCTTTTGCTAACTCGCTTATGTTTTAACATCAGGACTACAATGGTTTGTACATGTAACTTGAGGGTACCCAAATTGCACCTATTTTGACAGTTTTTTCACCTACGTTTTTTTATGAACCAGACAAAAGTTTCCATTCTGTGTTTATTTTGCAGATGTATCATTATTTACTATATGGCTCCACCAATTCAATTTTGAATCCATAATGAATCATAGAAAAATGGGTTTGAACGAACCTTCAAACGATCCATGATTCTGTAATGAGGAGTACCCAAATTGCATCCATGCTTAAATTCACATCCTTAAAAGTCGAATAACAGATCTTTTGTTTTATTTCTTCAAATATTTAGAACAATTTGATATTAGTCCATGCTTACTGTTCATTTTTTATGAAATGAATGCTTGTAACATATTTTGTTTGCTAATTTTTAAAAGATGACTTTTTGTGGACGTCGCATGGCGACGTTTCCGTACATTTTACTTTTTCCAGTGAACACTTCATCTGTTGATATATACTGTGAACGTTTTGTGTATATTCAAATATATTTATCTATGTTGAAAGACGTGCATAGTGTCAAATCTCAAAAATACAAACTGTTTAGTCTTTAGGAAAACTTGTAAGATTTCAGCTGCTATTTTTGCTAAATAGGTGTAATTTGGGTACTCGATGTAATTTGGGTACCGTGACGTTATAAGTATTATGAAAGAACACAACGTTTTACCTTGTATTTGGCAATAGCACCAGCCTGTAAATCAGATTCTATGTTACCTGGATCAAGGTAAGCTATACTCATTAAAAACCCCGGTCCTGTAAAGGCCCACAGTTTCCTAAAACTGAAAGATTTCTGAAAAAAAATTTTAAAAGTGAAATGAATACATTATAACTACATTGTAAGAACAGCTAATCAATACAAACATAATACAACAACCATAATGGGTTTTAAAAACTCATCAATTAAACAACGTTTAATTCCAAAGACATCAAATTTATAAATCTATATAGAATGGCTATCTATCCTTTATCTATATTGTACCCCTAATGGAATGTTGCACTGTTAATGATTGAGAGATGAGACTTTTAAATGAAATGTAGAATTGAAAGGAACATATGAGATTCTCTAAATGCTGGTCTTTAATTACTTACATCCCTTGATGAAGGTATTTTGACCTGTCCTGGAGTGATTTCAAATCCTCTTGAAGCTTCATAATTATTTGTAGGGGCTTGTACATCCAAGGAGCTTGAATAATTATTAACATTTATTCCATTCACTATTGGAGTTTTCTCTTCTTCTGCCATGCTAATTTTTAAGTTCCCGAGCTAACGCAATATCTGAAAAAAGATGGATTTCTGTTTTCAACTGGTAATATTTTCCGACCGCAATTTCTATTCATATAGTTTTTTACCCGTCCGTTCGTCCGTCAAACATTTTGGTTTCCTGATGCTAAATTAAATACTTTATATAGGATTGCAACCCTTCTTGGATATATAGGTCCTAGTTACTGAAACCGATGTTTGTAATAAATAACCTGAAAGTCTGAAACCATAACAGAAAAGATTCATACCTAAAAGTAAACTAAAAAGTGTATAAGGTCTTCCCATTTACAAGGGAAAGAGACAGTATGATTTTCTGCTCTTTGATCGGGTTTTTCATAATTGACACATTCCCCATTTCCATTCTCAATTTTATTGATATATTCAAATGAGACGATAACAATACTCGAACTTTTAAACAAATGTGAGCACATAAAAGTTTATCATATTTTCAAGAGTTGATTTACACGCCGCTGAAAGGTGTATAATCAATATATACCTCACTACATAGGAAAAACGAACATCATCATCACGTAACACTCAATCTAAGGCATCAAATTGATCGTCATCATCAGCATTTTATGCGATTTTTTATTGATTTTTTTATTCATGCATATCTAAATTCTTGTCCAATCAAATTGCTTGTTTTTCCCTTTAAAAAGTTTCATAGTACATACTTTTCTGTGTACTAAGTTACTACATGTATTCCCAATAATAAAAAAGTATAACAAAAATACCGAACTCCAAGGTAAATTCAAAAAGAGGAAGTCCATAAAAACTGACAAAATCAAACGTTTTCAAACAACGGAACGAGTGAAAAACAATTGTCATATTCCTGACTTTGTACAGGCATTTTCCTTAGAAAAATGGTGGGTTAACCCTGGTTTTATTGCTAGCTTAACCTCCCACTTGTATGACAGTTGTTTATAGTTGCGTTATATTGACAAAATTGGGTGAACAACCAAAACAGACATAATCGGTTAATGTAACAATAATTGTAATCCAGCAACCAAAACTGCGTATACATCACAGACAAACAACACCTGCACCAGGAACGCCAAAAGTCAACAACCCGATAGTGGGATGCATAAATACCGAGTCACGTCAAAAGTCATTCGACCAACAGATATATAAATCCACGAAAACAAATAAAGGGAAAACTGTAAAGTAAATAAAAAGGTAGACACTGAATATATATCTATGAGGTCTTGGTACTTTCCGATGAACGTTTTGAGAAAAAACGACGAGACACTCTTTGACTAAACATTGGCTCATAATTTTTTTGCACTAACACCGATGACGTTTTACAAAGTCTGAGTAGCAGCTGCAAGCTCTTGAATACCGTATGGGGTTGAGAAATGTAAATATAACCGGAAGAAAAGTGACATTGGGAACTTTTACCATAATTCGAAAAGTGCTTTATATGAACTCTCGTTTTAGATGCAATATTTATATGAACTCTCGTTTTAGATTGGATATTTCTATGAACTCTCGTTTTAGTTTTAAATTGAACATTTCTTGTTTTAAAATGTTTCTTTATTCTTAAATATAATGTTTCTTTATTTCAAATACCCAAAGAGATTATAGATTTACTATTTTACAACTTAATCCGATGGCTGTCAAAAGTGCTAAAGATAATACATGTATCTAACACTCGAACTACAAAAGAAGCAATTATCGCTATTTTACCAAGTTTAGCCGGAGGACAATAATCCGATTATTATTACATAAGATTGGACAATAATTTATATTTTATGAAAACCTTTTATAATGTTTTAATACCCTTATCTTTGACTTAATTTATGTTTTGTAAACGGTTGCTTGGGCAGTCTTCCCCTAGCTCTCAAGCTGTCCACATGTGAATAAATTTGTATATATTGTATATGGTCTTGCGTTTAAAGCAGCCACAGTGTCGATTATAGACCTACAGACTTTAATGTAACCCGTGCCGAAATTCACGGAGTTATACCGAAATTCACGGGGTTATAATTGGTGGAGGACCCGGGCACTTCGGGGAAGTAGTGGAGAATATAACCGGAAGAAAAGTGACATTGGGAACTTTTACCATAATTCGAAAAGTGCTTTATATGAACTCTCGTTTTAGATGCAATATTTATATGAACTCTCGTTTTAGATTGGATATTTCTATGAACTCTCGTTTTAGTTTTAAATTGAACATTTCTTGTTTTAAAATGTTTCTTTATTCTTAAATATAATGTTTCTTTATTTTAAGAATAAAGAAACATTTTAAATCAAGAAATGTTCAATTTAAAACTAAAACGAGAGTTCATAGAAATATCCAATCTAAAACGAGAGTTCATATAAATATTGCATCTAAAACGAGAGTTCATATAAAGCACTTTTCGAATTATGGTAAAAGTTCCCAATGTCACTTTTCTTCCGGTTATATATACTCCATACGGTGGTGAAGTTTATATTTTGCTACTAAGGTGAGGAAAATTTATAATTTTAAAATTGAAATCGTCTCGTTTTTCATTGACTCTAGTATTGAGATGACCGCTGTTGTCAAATTCGAAGTAAATGTATAGAAATGAGGCGGGGGAAGCTGTATCTGTGTTTTTTAATCTCTAGTCAGGAAGATATATTACCGGGATCCAGTCAGAAAAGTTTGGATTGTTAATGAAAAAAACATCATCAATATACCTGTATGTGAAATTAAATGATCTAACTTCTTTGATCTTTTTGTTTTAAAATAAGAAAAGGTAGGCCAGAGTTGGTTCCCAAATGAAATGCCGACAATCTGCTTGAAAATTATTCTACCTCCAAATTCAACAAATATGTTGTCAATGAGAAACTCCAGCATATTGATCACTTGTTCTTCGGTGTAGCATGTTTTATCTTCGTGTTTGTTTTTATAAAAACAAAAAATGCAGAATTATATCATTTTTATGGAGGAAAGCATTATGAATTATTTCTTTAACACGGTTTTTTAGTTTTTTTATGTGGTATGGTGGTGTCAGGGATAAAGAAAAAATCCAGAGAATGACCGAGAAGTTCGTTGTGAGTTCCACATATGGTTAATGCCACTACGCGAGTAAACAGTGTGACAGTATTTCTGTAATCCTCTTTTCACTGCGGACAAACTCTTTTTTAATCTCGGATAGTTCCTTGGTAGAACATGCAGATGAGACTGCAATATACTGTTGTTTGTAGAGCTTTGTGAAGTTTAGGTATCCAATACACTTTGTCAGAAAGGTTAAAAGCAATTAGGCCGTTGATACAACGTGGAATCCACAAGTTGAGAAACCGTGTAAATGTTCGACCTAAGACCGTATTCAGGGACAAAGAGGCTGTGAAATGTCTGAAGTCTCTTCACGACAAATATGTTGTTGTTCGCTTCAAACAATATGTCTGTAAATCCTATTACTACAAATGTCTTATCAAAGAAATAGGAATAAATCAACACTCGGGTTCAGCCTTTTCTCGTTTTATCCATTCTCTGATGTAATCCTCAACGGAATCTATTATTACTTTAAAGTTATGGTTCCAATTGATGTGTTGTGGCTCTCTAAATTTGGGACCATGAGATATCACCTTCCGGAGATGTTCATGTTGAATTATATTTATATCACAAGTAATTATATGGCCTTATGACTTGTAAATATATGGAGAGTGGGAACAGTCACATGTCAGAGGGTTTTTCTATTCTTTTAAATCAAGATCTTGCAATGTTTATTTACAGTTAAGTATTTAGGTGCAATGGTTTTTGTTTAACTATATATAGGAGACAATAGGAATAGACTGTATTTGGAAACAAAATATCCAACGGACCCCCCCCCCCCCCCAAAAAAAAAAATACGTATAGCCTACATCTATCATTCATAATATTGTGACCTGACTAAATAACTAAATTACAAAAACAATTTTCATTGACCTATTTACTGATAAAATTGTATTGTTCTTAGTTCAAGGTATTAAGAACATTGATTGATCTTGCTTTTTAAATATATTTTGTAAATCAGTGATTTTAACATTTATGATATCTGAAAATCATGTAAAATCTTATTACTTTAATTAAATTTAGAACATAGAATTTCATTCCAAAATAGTCAGTTGGACTTATTGATCGTTACATGCCTTGATTACAATACAATGAAGTCAGCCTTGCATAGTTTCTTAGGACATGGGAAAAGTATGTACTATGAAACTAAGAGGGTAAAGTCTAACAATTTGATTGAACGAGGAGTTGTAAACGTATGCTTAACTACAAATGCTGAGTTCATCTCTAAGTGTACATCGTTACAATGACATTTTACTTCACCAACATACCAACCTGGTGTCTCTTTATTGTGTGTGTCGTTTGGTTGATGTCTTATTGACGTACTTAGTAAACCAAAAAAGAATATGGTTGCTAATGAGACAACTACCCAACGGAGATCAAAAGACGTATAGCCTATACATCGATCATTTATACTATTGTGACATGAACAAATTACTTAATTATAAAAACATCCTTCATTGACCTATTTCCTGATAAAAGTTAAAACGTAAGTGAAATAGCCTTCATAAGATTTCGTGAAACACGAAATAAGCTTAATGTCCTAAATTTTCAGGAATAAATCATCCTTGCCTTTATATCAGCTTAATCATGCATAGTATTTAAGTATGATAATAATTAGAGGTTTATATATCATTATCATAGTAAACTTACAAGTGATAGTAAAAAGTAAACAAATGTTATTTTGAGAATATTTTTGGAAGTTTAACACAGAAAAAGCACGAAAATAATTTACATTTAAAGAAAACAAAAATAACGAATTTTAGAAAAAAAAATGTTTTGTCCCCAAGTACCTTTCATTCATCTTGTTTATGAGTTTGTATGCTGTCCAATTTTCTATATTCCACAGCGGTAAAGCACGGCTATTTGAAAAAATCTCAATCATAATTAATTGCATTTTTTTTTTTCATTTGTAACAAATCGCTAGATAAAACTAAGACTGTGATTATTTTGTTTTTTTTTATTAGGTCTGACTGATGCAGGTCTTCGATTTCTTAAATCGGTTGGCTAAATGAGTGCGGCTCAGTACTGGTGTTCCAAAATCCTCTGCGCGCCATATTCGTGCAAATTACATTTGCCTTTCGTGAATATGGAGCAATACTTTTTTTTTATTGTCGTTTGGAATTCCGAATAGCTAAAAGTATTCACATGCAAAGTAAGCCAAGTGTATGGTTGTTCAATATCAAAGTTGTTTTTTTTTCATAAAAAATTCAAATGTAGAAACTCTCAGTCAGTCAAATAACTTACCTCAGAGTTATGCTTACACCAGTTCACAGAAGGTCAGAATCCAACCTATTGATATTTTCTGGAGGTATAATACAAAACAGCAAAATCCGACTTTGTGTGAAGCTTCAGTATATACAATTTTTATATAAAAATTTTCAGCAAAAGCTATATAAAACCATTGTAATTAAAACTTTAAATCAAATATCAACAACTGAATATAGCTGTTATCTAGTACACTGGTTATATCGCTGGTCATTTATATGCATAATCATCAGATCAAAGTCCCATTTTTTGTAATAAAGATAAGTGAACTCAGTTACTTTGTCACTACCGACAATTTTAAGTTAAATTTTCTGAAACGGACCAAAAATGGGGAAGTAGTACAAATGAAATTGTGGCAAAGACAAAAACCTAGTTTGAATTTTCCATACCTTATATATTCGTTAAAATCAGGAGGTTTCAAATGCACAGCAAAAGATCTTTGATGTCATTTTTTTTTCGTTTGTGAAATTTAAAAATTACCAATTTGATCGAAGTATTTATGGCATTAATTTTCCTAATATTTTTAGTATATTAGCTTTTATCTTCGATGATTTATTAAGGCAAAGAATGCAAAAGATAAAATACATACTTCATCTTTGTATTTACAGTGACAGTATCCCATAACATGATGCATAAACCATCAATAATCAATTTATATCAAAACTCTTTGTATCATAATGTTATTAGTGTAAGGCTGTTAATCGTAAAATTTTATCTAATCTGTTGTCATTATTGTTAAATATTGTGATACACCACATATGCACAGAAGGAAGTTAATAGTACTAATAATAGTAATAATAATTCAAAACTAGATGTGTCGGAAATTTTCAAAGTCCAAAGCCCGTAATTTCGGCCAAAATCAGCGGTCGGAACCAAACGTAAACTCGATTTGTAACTCATCATAGTAGATTAATATACTAAAAATCAGCTCTGTGTGTGAAGGCTTTTAGAAAAAAAGTCCGTATAACTGTAATTTACACGAAATTTTCAGTCCAAAGCCCGTAATTTCGGCAAAAATCAGCGGAGCATAAAAAACGTAAAGTTGATCTGTATCTCATCATAGTAGACTAACATACTAAAAATCAGCTCAGTATGTGAATGCGTTTAGAGAAAAAGTCCGTATAACTGTTATTTTCACGACATTTTCAAAGTCCAAAGCCCATAATTTCGGCAAAAATTCGTGGAGCGGAACCAAACATTAACTAGATCTGTAACTCATCATAAATGACTCACATACTAAAAATCAGCTCAATATGTGAAGGCGTTATAAATAAAGTCCGTATAATTGTTCTTTGCGGACAAGGGTAAAACCCCATAAACTGATATTATAACAAACTAATACATGTAAAATATGCAAAATTTCAACATGTTTCAATTTGTGAAGGCTTCCTCGCTTCATACAATATGTGCTTCGGTCAACGCTTTTACACCCCAATAAAATTATAAAAAAAGCATTAAATTCTTAATTGTAGGTATAAACGCAACAATGTTAGATCAGCCACTTTGTCATTCCCCAGCGAGATTTCTCGAAACCATACTTCCGTGACGTGGTAGCAATTCAACCCTCACTGTGTCCAGTGCCGTAGACTACTCGGTCAACTATCCTATAAAATATAGCCTTTCTTAGTCTGACGAATTTCCACCAGCTGTGTCCAGTGCTGTAGACGACTCGGGCAACTATCCTGTAAGATATAACCTGTGTTAGTCAGTGATGCCTTTCCGCCTACACGGTGCCCAGCGCCGTAGACCACCAGTAAAATATATTTGAATTTAATGTTTTTATTTATTTTAAGAGGATTGCCAACAGCAAGAGACTACGTGTGGGGTCTCCCCAGCATAAATAGATACAGATTCACAATTGACGAAGTGTTTTTTTTACAAACATGTTTAACACAAGACAAGACAATATGTACAGGACAAGACATAAAGATGTAAACTTCACAAATACTGTGAAACTGTTTACTCGCGTAGTGGTATTAACAATATGTGGATTCTAAAAAAACTCTAAAGAACTTCTGGATAGTTTTAAATCTCGATCTTTTTATCTTTTTCTGAAATAAGTTCTTTCAAAACTTTTGATTTTTCAACCCTGTATACCACCATTCCCCATGTGAAATTGAAAAATCGTCTGAAAGAAATAATCCACAATGCTTTTCAACATAAAAATGGTAGCATACGCTATAAATTTAATATGAGGAAGGCGCTACCTTGAACGCCAGCTTACCAAGACTATGTCCTACATATTGATTGTTTGTTTGCTTAACGTCCAGTGGCAAATATTTCATGCATGTTCAGGACGAATGTCCTACATATATTTTTTGTCTAAAATAAAATAATAAGTTCAGATGGAAAATGTTAAGGGAACGATCATTGAACTTCAAAAGGCAGGATGGAGTATGTTTTTTTTCTTAAAAAATATTCTGATTCCCAAATTGATGAAAAAAAAATATTCTAATCAAGCAGAGGACAAAAAAATATTCTGAATCCAGATTATCCCCATACCTTCTAGTGTTAATTTTTGACCAAATAATTTTGATTGATAGCGCTGAAGCCCTTTGCGTGAAAAAAAAGGCCGCCCTTTTGAAACTAAATGGTTGCACCCTTATTGTCCATATTGTTTTCTGCTGAAAATAAATTTATTGGTGATTTATCTAAATGACAATGCTTAAATTCATTATCTTGTGCCATTTTCAAATCCATTTTACAAATTTTACAAAATTTAAAACAAAAAGACATTTGTTTAATTTCAAAACTATGAATACTGTTATACAATTCATAACTTTATTAAATTAATTTTTTGTTGATTTTCATGAAAAGGTGGAGGATTTGGAATATCTTTTTCATCAATATCTAAAAGTTGAAGCTGGTTTTTTTTATTTAGTATCGAAACAACGCTTTCTGTTTGTTGAATTATTTTTACTTTCTAAATTAGCTGGATGTTCATATTGTATTCCCAGTTTCCTGCATCTCATATATATGTGATCAGCAAGAGGATCATTCTGATTGTTAAAAGAAGAGTTTGAATTTACAGTGAGCCTGTTTAGAATAATGTTTTGATCAGGTTTTTTATTTTGATCTAAGCACAAGGAACCATAAATAGGATTGTTAAGTTGATAATCTAAAGATTTTGCTATTTTCTAGGATGCTATTTAAAATTTGAGGGGAGAACACTGCTCAGCAGTATAAATGTATTCCTGATCATCTTCTGTTTGTGGGTTTCTACATCAATTTCATGTACTAATTCAGAGTCAGTTTTATGTCATTTTTGCATTTTGTTTTATTAGCTTACTTTTCAAGTTTTTATACGACGGCAAAATAAAATTCAGAATGGAAATGGGGAATATGTCAAAAATTTGCTTTCGAGTATTAATGCAATCATGTCCCTGTTGTTGTCCGAAGACACATTTGGTTTCCGGACAATAACTTTAGTTTAAGTAAATGGATCTCTATGACAATGTATGAAATTGTACCAGAAGGTTCAACTTCAATACATAAAAAGAAGGTTAGAATTGATTTTGGGGGTTATCATATATGGTACCAACAGTTTAGGAGTCAGTGGTCAAAAACAACATTGTTGGGTTGTTTTTTCCATAATTTTTGGGTTGTTTCTCCAAAAATTTACCATTTTTACATTGATTATTTCTCATTTATATATAAATGCATCAAATACTGATATGACAGGAGATACACATGAAACAGGGTGTGTAATTTATTTTATCGGTAATTTGTGCATTTTTCCTTTGATGTGTACTTCTTGATAATGTCGACGTCAGTATCAGTGAACTGGTCATGATAAAGAAAATATATTGGGTCAGTTCGCAATTGACATGTGCGAGAGCACCGCAAAAGGATCTTCTTTCCCTTTAACTCACAAAATTGCACATGATTTTTTTTCGCAGAAACACACGAGTTATTTCATGAATGAAACACTTGTCATTGTTTGAAACTTTCAGTAATAAAAAGTTAGTTTAGCCTTTTTGAACGATTCACTGATTGTGTGAAAATTTGAACAGAAAATGTACGATAAACCTGATAAAATTGCGTTATCTGCAGAATTATTGATAGCTTTCCTTACTATTCACAAGGACATATAACTAACATATTGTCCATGCTATTCCGATCTGAGTTTTTATTCAGACATATTCTGCCATGGCTGGTGCTGTTCCAAGTTGTCTTCTTTCTCTGCATGTTTCTTGAGAAGTATTTGTTTGACCTGGTCAGTCACTATAAAGTGTTACAATTCATATTTAGACGCAACACATAAATAGAGACCAAAAAGGTACCGCTTTCACATGTATGACATGAGAGAATCTAGAAAAAAAATTAAATGTACACATAATTTTTCAACTTTTTTGTGGGACTGTCATATAAAACTAAGGAGATATGTAGTTGGAGACTGCTGCTGAATAGAAATGTTCTGGCTCACCTGATACCTGTTTTCAAATTAGTCCATATTAAAGTTTGAAGGGTCCAAAATTGAAATATGTTTGATTTCAACTGACATAAAAATTTTGGTGTTTTTTATATGCTTAATCTACATCTGCAGTTGTATTAGGCTGTGCTTGGCGAAGCATTTTATTGCTTTTTTGTTTGTACTTTATTTTATTTTGGTCATGAAAATTAACTTGTAGTTGTGAAGTTGCTTACATTTTTAAAAGATGAGAATTAGATAACTTCGCATGGTGACAACACTGACGTTTTCGTAGATTTACTTTTTCCCGGGAATGCTTCATCTGTTGATATATTGATGATGTTCTTTTCATTAATAATCCAAACTTTTCTGATTGGGTTCCATTAATATATCCCCCAGAACTAGAAATTAAAGAAACAACAGACACGGCTTCCTCCGTCTCATTTTTAGACTTATACCTCGAATTTGACATACACAGTCATCTCAGTACCAGAATCTATGACAAACGAACCGATTTTAATTTTGAAATTATCAATTTCCCCCACCTTAGTAGCACTATACCAACTTCACCTGCATATGGGATATACATTTCTAAACTTATTCGGTATTCAAGAGCTTGCAGCTGCTACTCAGACTTTGTAAAACGTCACCAGTGTCTGAGCAGAAAGTTGATGAACCAGGGGTATGTCAA